CTGTGTATTCAAATGGTCGATGCTCAACCATTTGAAGAGGTAGCATATGATGAAGAGCCAAAGATCCTGAAGGAAGAAGTCCAAGGTCCATTAAAAACATTAGCAAAGAACAAGGCTTCAGGAATTGATGGGATACAAATAGAAATCTTCCATCAAACTAAAAAAGCACTGGAGGCACTCACTCATCTATGCCAAAAAATTTGGAAGACAATTTACTGGCCAACTGACTGGAAGAGCTCCATATTTGTGTCCATTCTAAGGAGAGATGACCCAACGGAATGCGAAATTGTTAGACAATATCATTAATATGTTATATACATAAAATTTTGCTAGAGAAAATCTAAAAACATTTGCAAATGTACATTGGCAGAGAACTGCCAGAGGTTTAAGCTTTATTCAGAAGAGGACATGGAAAGAGGGATATTAGTGCTGATGCCTGATGGATCTTGGCTGAAAGCAGAGAATACCAGAAAGTTGTTTACCTGTGCCTTATTGACTATGCAAATGCTTTTGATTGTATGGATTATGACAAGCAATGGACAACATTGCAAAATATGAGTATTCAGAACACTTAATTGTGTTCATAAGGAATCTGTACATAGACCAAGAGGCAGTTGTTCGAACAGAACGTGGGAACACTGAATGGTTTAAAATTAGGATTGTGCACCAGGATTGTATTCTTTCACCATTCTTATTCAATCTTTATGCTGAGCACATAATCTGAGAAACTGGGTTATATGAAGAAAAGTGTGACATCAGGATTGGAGGAAGACTCTTTAACAACCTGTGATATGCAAATGATACAACTTTGCTTGCTGGAAGTAAAGAGGGTTTAAAATAATGATGAAGATCAAAGGCCACATGCTTAGGTATGGGTTGTATCTCAATGTAAAGAAGACAAAAGTCCTTACCATTGGACCAATAAACAACATCCATATAAATGGAGAAAAGATTGAAATTGTCAAAGACTTCATTTTGCTCTGATCAACCATCAACACTCACAGAAGCAGCAGTGAAGAAATCAAACGACTTATTGCATTAGGCAAATCTGCTGCACAAGACCTCTTTAAAGTATTGAAGAGCAGAGATATCAGTTTGAGGACTAAGGTGTGCCTACCCAAGTCATGGTATTTTCAATAACCTCATATGCATGCAAAAGTTGTACAGTGAATAAGGAAGACTGTAGAAGAATTGATGCGTTTGAATTACGGTGTTGGAGGAGAATATTGAAAGTACCATGGGCTGCCAAAAGAATAAACAAATCTGTGTTGGAAGAAGTGCAGACAGAATGCTCCTTGGAAGCCAGGATGGCTAGACTTTGTGTCTCATACTTCAGACATGTTGTCAGGAGGGACCAGTTCCTGGAGAAGAATATCATGTTTAGTAAAATTGAGAGTTGGAGAAAAAGAGGAAGACCACCAATAAGATGGAATGGCAATAATAATGGGCTCAAATATAGCAACAATTGCTCTGTTGGGCATAGGGTTGCTACCGACTTGATGGCACCTAACAAGAACAACAACACCATAGATTGTCAGAAGAACTAACAAATCTTTTGGAAGAAGTATGGTCAGATTGTTCCATAGAAGCTACAGTACTATTGATGTTGTTGGTGCCATTGAGTCAGTACTGACTTATAGCAACCCTAAGTGAGGATGGCTCAGGACCAGGTATTTCATTCTGTTGTGCATTGCAGTTGCAATGAGTCCTAAGTGACTCGAAGGCACCTAACAACAACAGCAAGGTGTTTACATAGACATCTAAGGTTTTTATATACACATCTAAACTGCTGCTCTTTATGAAGGCAAATGTTTGATTGTCTTGTTCTATCTTAAAATATTTCATTCTGTTGTGCATGAGGTTTCTCTGAGTCAGCCAATTCAAAGGCACCTAACAACAACAACAACAACAATGTGAGTTGAAGTCATTGGAATGCTGGTGGAGTTTTTATTTTACTTTTTATAGATACACCTATTTTCACTTATCCATAGTCACCTGTACTTATCCATAGTCCAAGCAGCTCTGGTAGTGTAGTGGTTACAAGTTGGGCTGCTAACCTCAAGGTCATCAGTTCGAAACTGTCAGCGATTCTGTGGGAGAAAGATGAGGGTTTTTGCTCCCATAAAGATTTACAGCCTCAGAAACCCTATACAGGGTCGTTATGGGTCGGAACTGACTAGACTGCACTTAACAACAACAACAACAACATCCATAGTCCAGTTGTGTTCAAACATGCATTTTAACTTTGGTTGTGCTGTGCTCCCTATATCCAAATTCAGTTCTAATTTTCCCATCACCAAAACAATTATTTTCTACGGTATAAAGGGTACTTTTCATTCCCCTTCTCTCCCTGAAACCCACCAATGAACACTCGTTTCTCTATGTCTAGCTAGTCTTGTCTTCTTATAAAAGAGGGCTCTTACTATGCTTGACTTATTTAATTTAGCATTACACCTTCCTGATCCATCCATCCATCCATCCATCTATAAATCTGGTTTGTGGACTCATCGCTGTCTGTATATGGTTGAGCAGTTCTCCATTATGGGGATGTACCACAGTTTGCTTATCCAGTCATCCAATGATGAACACTTCCATTGTTTCCAATGCTGCCATCTTTGTGGAAGTAGACATCTTTCTCACACAGAGTGCTGGTGGGTTCAAACCTCCAGATCAAGGCTAATTTCAGGAAAAGGAAATAGGATTTAACTCAGATTTGCCTGAAGCATATTATACCCAGGACCCTAACTTTTATTTTTAACATATCTGACTTACCTTTGTGTCAATTTACACAACTGAGCACATCCATTTACAATTTCCGTATGAATGGTTCAGTAACATTTATTATATATGTTACATTGGATCATCATTCTTGCTATCTCTACCTATGCTATTGAGTCACTATTCATTTATGCTCTCTGCTACTTCAAGTTCTCTGTTTTTGATTCAGTGTTGTGAGATTAAGCTCATAAAGATAATTCTCTGTGAAAGTCCTATGCTCAAGACAAACATTTTCAATTTATTGGGCTGGGCTCTGGCCCATTTAATGGGCGCCACTTGGAAGGAACAGTCTCCCCAAGTAATTGGAAACACATTGAATTTTCTTTTTCTTAAATTGTCATAATATGTAATTGTATGACTTGGTTGTCATGTGATAAATGCCAGAAAACATGTTGGATTCTAATGGGCATTTCTCCCCATGCTTTCTATCTGTCTCTTACAGCTCCATAGCAATGTTTTGCAGATAGCAGCTCAGAATGGCCACACATCACTTGTTACTTTTCTTCTTAGGGAGAACATTCATTTGTACCAGAAAGTGAAGGTGAGTCTTACAGTAACACCGAGAGCTTTGATCCCAGTGCTGAGAAGTGGGCTGTGTAGAGAGAAGTTCCTTGTAGATCTGTCTGGGGAATGAGATGCTTCACGAAGGAAAAGGAATTCTTTCTGGGAAGGTGGGCTGACTTCTTTAGGGCAGACTGCCTTAATCTTGAGAAATAAAATCCAGAGGATGAATTTTAGAATGCCATTGAGGTTCCAGAACAAAGGGACATCTTTGTGCTTTAAATATTTATATTTAATGCAATAAAACTAACCCGTGTATCTAGAGATGGCATGATTTATATATTAGGTTTCTCTGTCTGGGAACATGAAAAAGGAATGATCGCTTTCTGCTTTCACTGAAGCAATCTTGTTTTTCTTTTGAAAGTCAATCCTTTATACTGATTTCAGTTTCCTAATGTTGGAATTGCTTTTGGTAGAATTAACAAAAGCCCTCTGTGCTGGAGTTAGATGGGAAACATTCCTCTATTTTTCACTGTATTTTCATTTCTCTGATGAGAATATTACTGCCTCTGATCTTGATTATCCATTACTATTTTTATATTAACTTGAGAAAAATGATGTGATTTGAACCATGTCTGATTGTTTTTGGAAAGTGGTGTTCAGGAGAACTGGTTTTGAACTTGTCGGATCCAGGCCAAGGGCATTTCCTCTTTCTTTGGAAGGACTGGGCCCCAGCAGGGCAGCAGGCCACATGGCAGTGAGGACACTGTCCTCTTCTCTGCCCACTTTCTCTTTTTTTTAATATTCAGTGCAGAAAGGGAGAAAGTTCTTCCTGAAGAGACTCGCACAGAAAAGCCTTCTCCTTACTCTGCTTCCCCCTTCAATCTCCCTGAGCCCCCATGTCTGGCTTCCTTTCCCCTTGCTCACCACTGACAGCCCCTGATTTTCTCAGCCATCTTCTCGTCACTCACGCCTTTCTTTTCTGTCAGTCTACCCCTCTTTCCTGGTGCAGAAGGTGAAGTTGGGAGATCTGGATTCATATTCTGCCTCAGTCACTTCCTAGCTCTGTGACCCTGTGGAAGTTGCTTAAACTCTCTGTGCCTTATATTTTTGTTGTTTTTAAGTGCCGTCGAGTTGGTTCCAACGCATAGTGACCCTGTATAGGGTTTCCAAGAAGTGGCTGGTGAGCTTGAACGACTAACCTCGTGGCTCAAACGGACTGTGCAGTCCAGTGCATTAACCCACAGCGCCAGACCAGGACTCCAGACCTTATATATTAAGTGATAAATATAAGCTCTAACTCACAGGATTATAGTGAATGAGATGATTCCTGAAAAACTCTAAAGCCCAGTGCTTAAAAAAGACTGTCCAGTGTTAGGCCAGTGAGTGTGTTGTTGTTGTAAAGTGCCGTTGAGCCATTTTTGACTTCTAGAAACCCTTGCCTGGTTCAGGAAAGTTCAGAACCAATTCCCCTGAACACCACTTTCCAACAACAATCAGACATGGTTCAGATCATATCCCTTCTTGCAAGTTAAAACAGAAAACAGTAATGGGTCTAAACCTCTGACTTTGTGGGTAGCGGTCCAGTTCTTATCCGACAGCACCAAACCAGGACTTCAGTGCGTGTGCAGTAAGTAACATTACAAGGTATGTTGTGTGTGCTTTTTGTTGTTGTTAAATGCCGTGGAGTCAGTTTCAACTCATAACGACCCTGTATAGAGTTTCCAAGGAGTGGCTGGTGAGTTTGAACTGCCGATCTTTGAACTCCTGGTGTGCTATACTAGCACTTATTACTAAGCACTAGTATCAGTTACACTTTCATAGCACTTTATATTCTGCTAGTAGTGAGGTCGATGGCACTTAACAACAACAACAACAACAAGAACAACAAGAACAACAAGTAGTGAGGTTGGCCCAGGATCGGACATTGTTTCGTTCTGCTGTGTATAAGGTTGCTCTGAGTCAGTGCCGACTCAATGGCACCTAACAACAACAACAACAACAACAACAAGTTTCTTAGGGCTGCCATCACAAAATATACCAAGTGGGTACCTTTAAACAACAGAAATGTATTTTCTCACATTCTGGGGGCAAATAGTTTGAGGTCAGCCGTGTTGATTCCTTTGGAGGCATTCCATGCCTCTCCCCCAGCTTCTTGGATCTCCAGGAATCCTTTGGCTTGCAGTTATAAGCCAAAAATGACACATGCCATGGTGTCCTCCCTCTGTGTCTCTCTCCATGTTGCCTCCTCTTTTATAAGAACACCAGGTAAATGGGATTAGGACCCATATTACTCATGTATGACCACATGTTAGCTCAAGTGATAATATCAAAGATCCTGTTTCAAACAAGGTCATGCTCACAGATTCCAAGGGTTAGGACTTTAGTGTATCTGTTTTTGTGGGTGGGGCAGAGGAGGTGTACCATTCAATTTGTAACACTCTGTCCTCATCAGTCACCCTCACACACATCTGTGTTTCCTCTCTCCATTCACTTTGTTTTCAGCTGACTACTCTTCACCTCAAGGAGCTCTGGTAGCGTAGTGGTTACGAATCGGGCTGCGAACCTTAAGGTCAGCGGTTCGAAACTACCAGGTGCTCCGCGGGAGAAAGATGAGGCTTTCTACTCCCGTAAAGATTTACACCCTCGGAAACCCTATACAGGGTCGCTATGGGTCGGAACCGACTCGATGGCACATAACAACAACAACAACACTCTTCACCTCATGGAGTCCTGGTGTGGCTCTGTGGGTTAATGCGCTAGACTTCAATGTCGGTTTAAACCATAAGGTCGGTGGCTCAAGCTCACCAGCCACTCCTTGGAAACTGTATACAGGGTCACTATAAGTCAGAACCAACTCAATGGCACTTAACACCACCACCACCAACTCTTGGCCTCACAGTCTCTGGGATCTTCCACATCTGTACACCTCCACCTTTCTTTTCCACCTCCCTCCCTCTCTCCACTCACACTAGGTGCCCTTCACACCTGACTTGTTCATGTCTTAACTACTGTGCCCCCACTTTGTGTCTCTGCCTCCCTCCTCACTTCCATTTTTCTCTCTACGTCATCTTCTTTGTCTGGAGACCTGTGTTCTCTAATGACTGCAGGGACTGGAGCAGCTGGGTGGGAGGGAGGCAGCATGGTTGCTGGACGCTAAGTGTGAAAGTGGGCCATGCAGCCTGGCAGTCTGAGGAAGAAGCCTCCTAAGATAGGGGAGAAGGGTCAAGAGGCTCCAAGTGAGGTATAGTGTGGAAGAAAGGTGTCTTGTCCCAAAAATGAGGAAGAGGGAGGGCAGATTGCAAAGAATGTGGTGACTACACTGTGGTTGAATTCTAATACAGGGGGAGGGATGAACTGGAGATGGGAGTCCTGAGGTGAGTGGACACTAAGTCCCACAAGTTGCTTTAGGAAGGTAGAGCTTTAGATCAGGAAATGAAGAATGGGCACATTATCTCCCCCTTGTGGCTGTTCCACTGCACTTAAACTCTCTGAAGGCCCTGAGTCCTTTAAGCAAGGCCTACCTAATACTCTCTTATGGCTTGTATTTTTAAAAAGTCCTCTCTGACCACCAGGAAGGCTACCCCACCCGTATTTGCTCTTATAACACACTCTACTTCTCTTCCGGAACACTTAACACTAGTAATTGTAAGCTTATTTGTGTGATTTTACTAATGAATATTTATCTACCCCACTAGACCGGAAGGTCCCTGAGATTGGGCTGTGTATATTTGTTCTCCACCTGGTGTGGCTCTGTGTGTTAATGCACCAGACTGCAAAGACGTTTGAACTGCCCGGTCAGCATTTCGAGCTCACCAGCTGCTCTTGGAAACCCTATACAGGGTCATTATGGGTCAGAACCAATTTGATGGCATTTAGAAGAATTGATGCTTTTGAGTTATGGTGTGGGAAGACAATATTGAAAGTGCCACGGGCTGCCAAAAGAACAAACAGATCTGTGTTGGAAGAAGTGCAGCCAAAGTGCTCTTTGGAAGCCAGGATGGTCAAACTTTGTCTTTCATACTTTGGACATTTTGTCAGAAGGGACCAGTCACTGACTGGAAAAGGATGTCATGTTTGGTAAGGTGGAGGGTCAGAGATAAAGAAGAAAACCCCCAACAAGATGGATTGGCAAAGTGGCAGCATCAATGGGCTCAAGTGTGGTAACCATTGTGAGGTTGGCTCAGGACCAGGCAGTGTTTGGTTCTGTTACTGACTTGTTGGCACCTAACAACAACAACAACTCCCTAGTGGAGTCCTGGTGTGGTGCTATAGGATAAACACTGGACTTTATTTATACTATAGCACCACACCAGGACTCCACTAGGGAGTTCAAATCCACCAGTGAGTCCTCGGAACCCTACACAGGGTCAGTATGAGTTGGATCTAGCTTGATAGCACTTACCAGCAACAATTCCTGCATGTTGTTAGGTACTGTCAAGTTGGTACTGACTCATTGAACAACAGAACAAAACACTACCTGCTCCTACACCACTCTCACAATTGTTGCGACATTTGAGCCCATCGCTGTTGCCACTGTGCCATTCCATCTTGTTGGAGGTCTTCATCTTTCTCTCTGACCCTCCATTTTATGAAACATGATATTCTTCTCCAGGGACTGGTCCCTCCTGACAGTATGTCTGAAGTATGAGAGACAAAATCTGGCCATCCAGGCTTCCAAGGAGCATTCTGGCCATACTTCTTCCAATACAGATTGGTTGGTTCTTTTGGCAGCCCGTGGTACTTTCAATATTCTCCTTCAACACCATAGCTTAAATACATCAATTCTTATACAGTCTTCCCTTATTCAGTGTTCAACTTTCTCATGCATATGAGATCATGGCTTGGATCAGGCGCACCTTAGTCCTCAAACTGACATCTGTGCAGTTTTTGTGCAGCAGATTTGCCTAATGCAATAAGACGTTTGATTTCTTCACTGCTGCTTCCATGAGTGTTGATGGTTGATCAAAGCAAAATGAAGCCTTTGACAACTTCAATCTTTTCTCCTTTAATCATGATGATATTTATTGGTCCAGTGGTAAGGATTTTGTTTTCTTTACATTGAGGTGCAATCCATATTGAAGGCTGTGGTCCTTGATCTTTATCAGTAAGTATTTTAAGTCCTCTTTGCTTTCAGCAAGTATGGTGTATTGATAATTACTGGCGACTGGAATGCAAAGCTGGAAACAAAGAGGAAGGATCAGTAGTTGGAAAATATGGCCATGGTGATAGAAACAATGCTGGAGATAGCATGATAGAATTTTGCAAAACCAATGATTTCATTGCAAATACCTTTTTAAAACAACATAAAAATAACTTTACACATGGACCTCACCAGATGGAATACACAGAAATCAAATTGGTATATCTGTGGAAAGAGACAGAGGAAGAGCTCCATATCATTAGGCTGGGGCAGACTGTGGAACAGACCATCAGTTGCTCATATGAAGAAAGTTCAGACTGAAGCTGAAGAAAATGAAAACAAGTCACCAAGAGTCAAAACATGACCTTGAACATATCCCACCTGAATTTAGAGATCATCTCAAGAACAGGTTTGATGCATTAGACACTAACGACAAAAGACCAGAAAAGTTGTGGGATGACATCAAGACTATCACAGAGGATGAAAGCAAATGGTCATTAAGACGACAAGAGAAAAGGAAAAGACCAAAATGGATGTCAGAAGAGACTCTGAAACTTGTTCTTTAGAGTGTAGAGATGCTAAAGCAAATGAAAGAAATGAGGAGGCCAGAACTGAATAGAAAATTTCAAAAGGCAGCTCAAGAAGACAGAGTCAAATATGATAACGAAATGTGCAAAGACCTGGAGTTAGAAAACCAAAAGGGAAGAACACACTCAGCATTCCTCAAGCTGAGAGAGCTAAATAAAAAATTCAAGCCTTGATTTGCAATATTGAAGGATTCGATGGGCAAAACACTCACGGAAGCAGCAGTCGAGAAATCAAATGACGTACTGCATTAGGCAAATCTGCTGCACAAGATCTCTTTAAAGTGTTGAAGAGCAAAAATGTAAGTTTGATGACCAAGGTCCTCAAAAAAAAAAAAAAAAAAAAGCCATGGTATTTCCAATAACCTCATATGCATGAGAAAGTTGGACAGTGAATAATGAAGACCATAGAAGAATTGATGCATTTGAGCTATGGTGTTGGAGGAGAATATTGAAAGTGCCATGACTTGGCAAATGAACAAACCAATCTGTGGCAGAAGATATACAGCCAGAATGCTCTTTGGAAGCCAGAATGGCCAAACTTTGTATCTCATACTTCAGACATATTGTCAGGAGGGACCAGTCCCTGGAGAAGGATATCATTTTTTGGTAAAGTTGAGGGTAGGAGCAAAAGAGGAAGATTCCCAATAAGATGGATTGACATAGTGGCAAATGTGATAGGCTCAGGGGTAGCAATAATTTTGAGGTTGGCTCAGGAGTAGGCAGTGTTTCGTTTGTTGTGCATAGGATTGCTATGAGTCGGTACCAACTCAATGGCACCTAACAACAATAGGAACTATGGGCAAAATATTGAATGATGCAGAAAGTATCAAAAGAAGATGGAAGGAATACACAGAGTCACTGTTCTAAAAAGAAATGATTGGTGTTCAACCATTTCAAGAGGTAGCATATGATCAAGAGCTATTGATACTGAAGGCAGAAGTCCAAGATACATTGAAGACATTGGTAAAGAACAAGGCTCCAGGAATTGATAGAATAAAAATTGAAATCTTTCAATAAATTGATGAAGCACTGGAGGCACACTCATCTAAGCCAAGAGATTTGGAAGACAATTTCCTGGCCAACGGACCAGAAGAGGTCCATATTTGTGTCCATTCTAAAGGCAGATGACCCAACAGAATATGAAAATCATCAGACAATATCATTAATATCCCCTGCAAGCAAAATTTTGCTAAAGGTAATTCAAAGACATCTGCAACTATACATTAACAGTGAACTTCCAGAGGTTCAAGCTGTATTCAGAAGGGGTATCATTGTTGACATCCGATGGATCTTGGCTGAAAACAGAGACTGCCAGAAAGATGTTTACTTGTGCTTTATTGACTACACAAAAGCTTTTGATTGTATGGATCATGCCAAGCTATGGACAACATTTCAGAGAATGAGTATTCCAGAACACTCAATTGTGCTCACAAGGAACCTGTACATAGACCAAGAGACAGTTATTTGAACAGAACAAGGGAACACTACATAGTTTAAAATTAGGAAAGATGTGTACCAGGGTTGTATTCTTTCACCATACTCAATTCAATCTGTATGCTGAGCAAATAATTCCCCAAACTAGATTATATGAAGAAAAACGTTGCATCAGGATTGAAGGAAGACTCATTAATAACCTGCAATATGCAGATGATACAACCAATAATTCTTTAACATTCTGATAAGACATTGGGCCATAGTAGGTTCTCAGTCGATTGTTTCAGAATGAACGAAGGGAGAGAGCTGATTGCTGGTAAATTTGCCAGCTTCTGTGGGATGGATGTGGTTCCTGAACAGAATGTAGGCCTGCTGCTGTGCTGGGCCTTGACAGTCTTCAGCATAATCAGAAAGTGTCTGCTGAAATGTGTTGAGTTTTGATTTGAATGACTAAGCAGCTTCCCTTGGACTTGACATTTTTATTTCCTTCTGCAGACAAAGGAGTCCCCTCTTCATTTAGCTGTTATCAACAACCACATCAGGGTGGTTGGTAAACAGTCTATATTAAGTGCACAGCATGATATTGACATATTAAATCAGGTAAGCCAGACAAATCAGAACCTGGAGAGTCTGTTTTCGTATGTTTCAATGCAGTGTCTGTAGAGCAGTTGTTTTGATCAAGTTCAAGGTGCCCTAAAAATTCCTGGGAGGAATAAGTGAGTTAGTTTTCTCCCCAAGCCCCCACCCTGCCTCCCACACACATACTTTGTCTTTCTGAAATGCACAACTGGGGTTCAGCCCAGTGTATTATTAAATTGTTCACATACAACAGACCCAGCACTCTTGATAGATAAACAGTAGCTCATTCAACAGACCTAGTACTTTTGATAGATAAACAAGAGGTAAATTACCAGAGGCTCTTTAAATCAAAAGTTACTCCCCAAGAGCGATATGTTGTAACTGACAGAGTCCTTTGCCACAAGAAGGCCATGTTGCTTCTATCTTAGAGATAGTAAATGTGTCTTCCTTTTGCCCAAAGACAAAAACAAAACAAACAAACAAAAAACCCCCACACCTCCTGATGTAAAAAACTGCCATGAACTCAATCAGTGGAAGCAGAATCAAATGCTTCATAAAAGGAATTCATCACCAGCTGGAATTGGAAATGCTGAGATGCGATAGTAAAAAAGGAATACGTGCTGGTGGTGTCTGAACTAAAGACCTGCTTTCTGGGGCTTTAGACTGAGACTTCATACTCCCAGAGGCCCTTTCCACTGTCTTTGACCCTTACTCCAGGGGATGGCCAGATGTGAGGAGAAGGCTCCTGGGGTTCTGAGGACAGATGAAACCTCTGGATCCCTCCCCAGAAAAGCCTCAGCTGTGCCTTCTCCAGGCTAGAAAGAAACCACAGTATCAAGGGCCTGCCAGGCCTAACCCTGTTAACCCTAAACTGTGTCGTCCTCAATGATGGCACTGTGGGCTAAGCATTGGGCTGCTCACCTCAAGGGTTCAAACCTACCAGCCACTCCGAGGGAGAATGATGAGGCTGTCTGCTCCTGTGAAGATTTACAATCTCGGAAACCTGAAGGAGCAGTTCTACTCTGTCCTGGAGGTTGGCACTGAGTCAGAATTGGCTCCCTGGCAGTGGGTTTGACATTGGTTTATCAGAGCATTGAATCAGATCTCTGCATTCTCCTCCAACTCTGTGAGGTCATTTTCACCCTGAACTGAATGGACATATCTCCACATCTGTCCACCTTCCCCTCCCTTCCTTCACCCACCCTCCAGAACCCCCTCTCCATCTTTTACTATGCTAAAAGATCTTGGGGGACATCCTCTTGTTATTAAATATACCTATATGTTCAACTATATTAATGTATACCATCTTTCTTAATGGGCAGAATCTTTGCCAAATATACAGAGCCTCATGTTCATTTGTGATTGCTGTTTAAGTAGAATTGGCTACGTCTACTTTGTGAAGAAGTCTTTCCTACGCTTGTTGTTCAGTGGTACAACTACAATGTATCAATTTTGTTGTTGTTGTTAGAACAGAAATACGCACTTGATACCTGAAAATAAGATATCATATAAAAGCTAAAACCTTCAGATTTGTTTGTAATCTCTCCCCATTCTTGTTAATTTTCTACCTTTTAAATGTATGACAGTATTGTCAAAAGATTTTAATTGTATTTTTCATAAGACATCTGTGCCTGCTTCATGCTGGTATAGACCTTTGATAAGGGTGGTCTGTCTTGGATGGTAAACCCCCAGAGGAACAAACTGTCACCCAAGGTGAGTCTTTAATAAATGCTTTTTTGATAATGATGGTGGTGACATCCCAAGCAGGTTGGCCCTGTGCTCTGGTGGGAGGAGTACTGGGCTAGATGGGAAAGAGTCAGGTCTACTGGCCCAACTGTGTGACCCTGGGGAAGTTACTTCACCTTTCTGGAGAAGGAGTTGGACAAGATAACATCCAAGGTTTCTTCTCTAATACTTCAGAAATGTTTTCACATCAGCATTTTGACAAAATAGTAACATGGGTAATTTTCTTGTGTTTTCATATGGTTGTTTTTCTTAAAATGTTTTATTGTGAATTATGTTTCATATGTTTTTTGTTGAAGGACTCATTCTCTTGATAGGAATGTGATTAGCTCAGAGAGAAGTTAGAAGTTTGCACTGTCTCAAACATTATAATGTGTGCAATTTTTAAATAGAGAAAAAAAAAACATTATTAGCCCAATAAAAATAACCTCTAATTTCTCCATCTACACATTATCATTAATACTTTTGATGTCTTTCTTTCTCTTTCTATACATACTTTTGAATTACATTGAGCTCAACTACGGTGTGATTTCCAAAGGTCTTAAATGTTATCTGATAAGCATTTCTCATTTTATTAAATATTCTGTGAAAGAATTTTCTAAAGATCATTTAAAATTGTTGCCTAATATCCCAATGAGTCCTGGTGTGGCGCTGTGGGCTAATGCATCAGACTGCAAAGTCATTTGAACTGCAAGGTCAGTGGTTCAAGCTCACCAGCTGTTCCTTGGAAACCCTATACAGGGTTGGAATCGACTCAACGACACTTACCAACAACAATATTCCAATATATGGACATACCATGATTTATCTTATGAGTCTCCTTAGACATGCAACGTCCTTTCAACTTGTCACTGTTATAAATAATACTGCAATGAAGGCTCCCTATACCCATTAAATATATATATGTGATCTTTTCCATGTGTCTATCTCTACTTTCTCTTTGTCTTTTTCCCCCCCTCCTCAATTAGCTTGAGTTATGTTTTTAAAATTTCTTTGGCAGTGGCAGCAAACCCCTTTGCATGTAGCTGCTGATCCTGGAAATGTAGAACTAGTGGACACCCTCCTGAGAGCAGGCTGTGATCTGAAGGCCGTTGATAAGGTAACTCTACGGACTCTAATCTGTTCAGTTGAGAGGCTCCCTGTTGGCTATAAACCTTGGGCAGCAACATTCACTTCCTTTGTGAAATTGATCTAAACTGGAGCAACCTTTACCGGCAGTAAAACATTCTGATTTTGATTACGATATGTCAGGGAGAATGTTTACTCTGAGTAATAGAATCTATGTTTTAAAAATCCACAGTATTTATCTAACTTTCAGAGAAGTTATGGAATCATGTACTCCCCAAATTTAAAAATATATTAAATAGTAACAATCTAGTACCATTTTCCTACCAACCCCTGTTCTCATGTGTCATTTGTCGTGTCTTCACACTATTACCTTTGCTATGTTTTTGTTGTTAATTGCTATGGAGTACATGACGACCCACGTACAACAGAGCAAAATGTTGCCCGGTCTTGTGTCATCCTTGTGATTGTTGGTAGGTTTCAGTGCCTTCCAACCTAAGGGACTCATCTTCCAGCTTTCTATGGGGCAATCGACTATTGTGATCCATAGGTTTTTGGTGTGTGTATTTTTTTTAATGTTTTATTGTGAGTTATGTGATAGTTTACATGGGAGAGCATTAGCTTTACATTCATCACATTGTATATCGTTTCATTGCCATGGTTACAGTCTCCTCCATGCATCATCAACCAACCAAAGGGTATACCCTGCAAGCCTGCCCCTCGGTCGTCAGCACACAGCCCCTCTCCCTCTCCAGGTCCAAAGTCCCCAGCTGCCCAGCTGCTCCATCTCTCCATGTCATCGTCTCTGCCTCCATCTCTGGCATCACTGCTTCTCTGGGTAGGGTCCCGCTCTCCGCTCTTCTCCCTAGATGGTCCCAGGGACCTCCACTCCTAGAATGCAAAGTCAGCCACTCCCCTCCTTTTGCTATTAAACATTACCTTTACATTTCCAGCCCTCACAGTCAGTTGTGATAACAGTTATTCACTATTGTATCACAAGAGACCTATCCGCATCTCCTTTCATCAAGCCCTCCCAGACAGATTGGTTACTACTCAGTGGAGATTCTACCTTCCTCCATGCCCTCTGGATCTAGTCTCTCTCTTGAAAGCTTGTAAGTCAATCACTTCTTGCCTTTGTAGCCACCGCCTCCCATTTTGGGTAGCCAATGTCCAAGTTGCCCATCCCTGTCTACTCTGTGTATGGAGGGGGTGGGAATGATCCTTGCTGTAAAGATTTGTTCCCTCTTTTGAGCTACTGCTTCCATAGGTGTAGGTCAAGTTCATCAAATTGTATCAGATTACTCTTTTTTCCCCTCTTCTTTCTTCTTCTAGTTGAGTTCTGATCATCCAGCCATTGAAGCCAGGTCAAGTGGGTACTATCTGCAAGTGTGGGTGTTCTTGTACATATGTCATCATAGAGTTTTTATTGTCTGATTTTCAGAAGTAGATTGTGAGTTCTTTCTGCCTACCTGGTCTGTTTGAGTCTGAAAGCTGTGCTGAAACCTGCCTACCATGGGAGACTCTGTTGGAATTTGAAATGTCAGTGGCATGGCTTCCAGCAACGTGGCAATACACGAGCCAACACAGTACGACAAACTGACAGCGGTGGTGGGCCTTTGTCTTCCTAGTGTCTCTTTTCAGAGTTCCTTTGTGCACATAGACAAGCAGACAAATATATAGACTCCCGTTTTACCCCATCACCCTTTTCACACGACGGTAGCATACCTATGCACACTGTTCTATATTTTGCCTTTTCTTACTTAACTACGTAAAATAAAGATCTTTCCATATCAGGAAACAAAGAGTTTCTTCATTCTTTATTTTATAGCTTATAGCCCCCACAGTTTAGTTTCCCTAGATTTTTCTTTTCCTTCTCCCTCTTTGTTCTCAGAGTCTACTTCATGGCTGGCACTCAGTATATGTTGAATGAATAAATTAAAAACTACCTTTTCTACCAGCAACACAATTTTGACCCAAGATAAGTAGATCACACACAGTATGACCAAATGGGAAAAAATGGAGCCAGAATGTGGTGTAAATTTGACCTACTGGAAGCCTGTCTTCTCAACCTGCTGTTGTTAAGTGCTATCGAGTTGGTTCTGACTCATAGTGACCCTGTATAGGTTTCTGAGGAGTGACTGGTGAGTTTAAACCCCTGACGTTGCAATTCAGACTGACCTTGTGGTCCAGTACTTATGCTACAGGCCCAGGCCAGGACCTCTACCTGAGGTGTCTCCAGTGTCCTAGAGACACTCTGTCTAGTTCTTTCCATTCCTGGGTCCTGCCAGTGGCAGAAATAGTTAGACTTCCACTCCAGCATGCACTCCCTAGGAAGATTTTCTTATGAGCTTGAAAACCCTGACTCTCAGAATGTTGCTTCCCAAAATAGGCTAATTATGGTGATTCAAATGGCTTTACAAGCCAGAATTTAGACGATATACAATTACAGGCCTGCTAACTGCCAGCAAAATGCTGTGCTTCCTAATTTCATTACTGTCTCTTTTGATTAGGGGCTGATTGCTTTCAGCCCTGATTTTCAGGCTCACCTGGGTCTTAGTGCCTGGAAGAACAGTCAGAAATCATTTGTGTTGGTGAGAATTGTACTTGTTGCAAATTTGCAGACATGGAGAATTATGGGGCTATATTTCTGGATTCCTAAGGATAGAAATACATGGAGTCCTGGTGTGGTACTGTGGGCTAATATGCTGGATCATAACCTCAAGGTCGAAGTCAAGCTCACCATCTGTTCCTCGGAAACCCTATACAGGGTCACTGTGAGTTAGAACCAACTCGATGGCACTTAACAAAAACAAGGATAGAAATCTCAAATCATTTCTGACCATTATTATTATTATCAATAGGGTTCCTAAGCATATTCCTCATGGATCATTGAAAAGCAAATCGATCAACTTGTCTTTGCTTAAGGAAAAATGTTCAGATGTGTAGGTCATCGACTATATAATATCTAGGTACCCTGTTTGTGTGCTCTGGCTTTGAGCTATGTTTATTTTGAGAAAAATATTACTTTTTTGTAATTCTTATAAGGCACCACATGGGTTCATGGCAGCTCACATTCCAAATAATATACAGAACAGTCTTTCTTACTTGTTCCATTTGGTTAAACTCTAACCTTTCCCTTTTGGTTAGAGGCAATGAGATATGAGGAAAATTCTAGAAAGGAGTCCAGTGAGCTGAATTCTGTATCATGAATCAGTGGTGGTGGTGGTGGTTGTGTGCCGTTGAGTTGGTTCCAACCCATAGCAACCCTATAAAAGGTTTCTGAGGCTGTACATCTTTACAGAAGCAGAAAGCCTCATCTTTCTTCTGTGGAGCGGCTGATAGATTTGAACTGCTGACCTTGCAGTTAGCAGCACAGCTCATAATCCACTACACTACCAGAGCTCCCGATGAATCAGTAGTGTCATCATTATTAATATTACTCTTAGTAAGGTCCAAAGTCTTTTCTATCTTATTATTCCACCCTCCTCAACACATGGCTTCTACCTCATGGTCTAAAGTGGCTGGTTGTTCAAGCTTTAGCCTTCATGGCAGCAGTGCCCTCAGGAAGAAGAATGACAGCCTCTTCTCTTTAAAGATAAGTCTCACATGTTGCCAGCACTACTGCTGTTTACATTCCATTGACCAGAACTGAAGTCTCATTTCTAACTGGGGGAAAGCTAGAGGATACGGTCAATATTTGTGGCTAAAAATTGGGAGTTCTTTTCCTGTAGAAGAAAAGCCGATGGGGGGTGAGGTGGAATGGGATAGGGGGCGAGGACTAATAGTCTGCCATATTCCTTGGAGGAGAAGTATGATGATGTCACTTACTGGCTGAGAATTTCGCTGTGCAAGCCAGGAAGATATGTGAAAGTCTTGGAGAAATGTTTGAGTTCTTGTTGAGAGAGCAGTAAAAACGTCATCTGTTGATGGTAGATCCCACCTCCAAACAAGAAACTTTTGTTGTCTAAATCTGAGAGGGATTGATGGAGGTGTAATCTGAACCTGGATATATTTGCTAAGTAGTTATAGTCTTTAGAAGACTATCCAAGCAAGTTCCCTCAACCCCCTTGTTTCTCTTATTCAGTTTTTTTCTTTCCCATTTGACCTACCACCTACGGTTATTGATAGCTAACATCTCTTGGACAATGACTATGTAACAGGTATTGTGTCAGCTCCTGTCCTGAGGATCTTTGTCACATTATCACATTTAGAAGATCCAAGAGAAGCTAAGAATGGATCCAAGTTCACCCAGCAAGGAAGGATCTGGATTTGAACCCAGGCTTTCTTGTTCCCAAACTAGAACTTGTTCTAAACTTAGTTTACTACTAGGCAGTACTAACCGACTCCTTGTTTTTTAACTTCAGCGAGAAAACACAGCCCTAGTGGTGGCCTCCAGGAGCAACCGCAGCCTTGTTGTGGACATGATCATTAAAGTGGAGAGAAGTACGGAAGGATGAAGAGATCATTAAACCTGGAGAGAAGTAAAGAAGGATGGGGCTCTTCTGACAACCCCAACCTTCTTACAGAACAGCATCCAGTCTTCTTAGGGGACAACAGGGTGGCTCTGTGTAAGTCTTTTCTGTTTTTTCTTGCTATAATTGGCAATTATAACTGTCCCTCTGTCTTATTCTGTTCTCATTCATGACATGATCAATTACCTCCCTTTCTGTAGCTGGCATCAGTGTTGTTGTTGCTTGTCATTGAGTTTGTCTGTGATTCATGGTGACTCCATACACAGCAGGACCAGTTTGTTGTGATCCATTAGATTTTTTGGAAATAGATTGGTCTTTCTTCCTGGTCCATCTTACTCTGCTGAAATTTTTTCAGCATCATTTGTTGTTGTTGTTAGGTGTCATCAAGTTGGTACCGACCCATAGCGACCCTATGCACAACAGAATGAAACACTGCCAGATCCTGGGCCAACCTCACAACTGTTGCCATGCTTGAGCCCATCGATTCTGCCACTTGACCAATCCATCTCATTGGGGTCTTCCTCTTTTTTTCTCTGACCCTCCACCTTACCAAACATTATATCCTTCTCCAGCGACTGGTCCTTCCTGACAATATGTCCAAAGTATGAGAGATGAAGTTTGGTCATCTTGGCCTCCAAGGAGTGAACAACAACTCTAGTGAAGTATGCACACCATAGAATGGTCAACCATGTGAGATCAATAGAGCAGCATTTACTCAAGGACAAAGTTCAGAAGAATTGGAAAAGAAGGAAGAATGGAAATAAAAAACATCGGGAAGAAGTGTGAAAAATGATGTTACATTGAGAGAATTGCAGTCAGTGGGATGAAACAAAGGGTGCATGATTTGTTTCATGTAAAACTAACAATCTGCTTGTAAACCTTCACCCAATTTACAAAAGCTTTAAAAAAAAATAATAATTGAAAGAAGATAGAAAGAATGACTGGAAGGTAAATATAAAGTCTTAGTGACTGTTACAGAATACTTGAGTGCTAGAGAGCCAGCAAATGGATGTATTAAAAACTGCAGGACCAGAAAGGTGAGCTTTGTTACCACCTATTGGCATACTGGTCGGGAAGCTTCCAGAACAGATTATAGCCAGAAATTCTAGGACAGAGGGCACAGCCAGAGTCAAGTTGATATGGACTAGACTGCTTGGCCCAGTTAAATTCTACCACCCTGTGATGATGATGTTGTTGTTGTTTAGTGCCACTGAGTCAGTTCTGACTCCTAGTGACCCTGTATAGGGCTTCCAAGGAGTGGCTGGTGAGCCTGAACCACTAACCTTGCTGTTCAAACCGACTTTGCAGTCCAGCACATTCACCTGCAGCACCACACCAGGAGTTAGTTAAAGTTTTGTGTCAACTTGACTGGGTCAGGATTCTTAGTGGTTTGGTAGTTGAGATTATCCCAGGGTGAAACCTAATACAGGCATAGTTAACTCTATGATGATTGGCTATGAGAAGCCAATCCATTGAGGGGGTGTTTCCCTGGGGGTGTGGCCTGTTCCCAATGTAATGGACTTGCAGGAAAAGCTTGCTCTGTTTTCTGAGGGGATTTGGGACTCTACAATTGTGAGCCATTTCCTTAATATAAACTTCTCTTTATATGTATACATATATAAATTTCACTGGCTTCGTTTCACTGGTCTAGAGAACCCAGCCTAAGACACACTCACTCATTTCTTATTAATTACTGATGCCAGTTGCAGTTCAGTGATGTCATTCTCACTTTCATGAGGGAAATCTGTGTTCAATTCCCAGCCAATGTAGCCACCACCTGACTATAGGCTTGTATGTTGCTATGATGTGCCTGACCCAAGCCATGGTATTTTCAATAACTTCATATGCATGCGAAATCTGGACAGTGAATAAGGAAGACCATAGAAGAATTGATGCCTTTGAATTATTGTGCTGGAGGAGAATATTGAAAGTGCCATGAGCTGCCAAAAGAATCAATAGATCTGTTTTGGAAGACGTGCAGCTAGAGTGCTCCTTGGAGGCCAAGATGGCCAAACTTCGTCTCTCTTCGTCTGATATACTTCAGACATATTGTCTGGAGGGACCAGTCGCTGGAGAAGGATATCATGTTTGGTAAGGTGGAGGGTCAGAGAAAAAGAGGAAGACCCTCAACGAGATGGATTGGCCAGGTGGCAGCATCGATGGACTCAAGCGTGGCAACAGTAGTGAGGTTGGCCCAGGATCGGGCAGTGTTTTGGTCTGCTGTGCATAGGGTCACTATGAGTTGGTGTTGACTTGATGGCACCTAACAACAACAACCCCAAGACTCTAATCCTGAGCTCCCAAACCCAAGGACTGATTTCCCCAAGGTTTTTGGTGAATTCTAAGAAGTTTTCATAACTTTGACCCCTGTATGCTCTACCACATTCTTGGATATATTTGCAGCCAAGGTAAATACCCATGTACAAATATTCTCTATCAAACCTATGTATATTTGTGAGTGTATATATCTGACAGTGTGGCATTGCTATTCATAAGGTTTTCAGTGGCTAAACATTTGGAAGTAGTCCTCCTCTCTTTCTTCTGGAATTGACTGGATGGCACTTCACAACAATAACAACAACAACAGTATATATTTGAAGTTCTGGTGTGGTGCAACAGGATAAGCACTGGACTATTAACTGCAAGGATTGTAGTTCAAACCCAGTAGTTGCTTCTCAAAAACACAACTATGAGTTGGAACTGACTCGATGGCACTTAACAGCAACAACAACAACATTGTGGTCACTCTACCTCCCACACCCATTCAGCCTGTGTGCTATCTATGCATCTACCCATGCGATTGTTGTTGTTTAGTGACATCGAGTCAGTTTTGACTCAGTTACCTGCATTGAATCTATACGAGGGTGAGTCAAAAATTATCTGCACTCCTGTTATATTAACATGCCCATCCATGTCCACAGGGATGACAACAATGACCATACACATGAAATGATTCTGTCGAATAGACAAGTGACAGTATATTATGTGGCAAATCATTTGCAAATCATCTATGGCTCTGTCTATGAAACAGTCCGTGACAGACTTGGGTTTAGAAATTTGTGTGAGATGGGTACTGAAACAACGCATGAAAGAGCAGAAACAAAAGCATTTGGACATTTGCAAACAAAATTTGGACCAATGTTCAAAGGACAGTAGAAGTTTCTTTAAAAAATCGTTACTGGTGATGAGACATGGATTTATCACTACAAGCCTGAGAGTAAATGGTAGAGTATGGAATGGAGAGATCCTCAATCAAGAAAAAGTTCCAAAGTCAACCATCAGCTGGAAAATTATGTGGTACTCTAGGATCAGCACTGGACTATGAACCACAGGTAAGTAGTTTAAACCTCCAGATGCTCCTCAGAAACTCCATATTTGTTGTTGTTGTTAGGTGCCATCGAGTTGGTATGGACTCATAGTGACCTTTATGCACAGCAGAACAAAACACTGCCCGATCCTGGGCCAACCTCACTACTGTTGCCACGCTTGAGTCCATCGATGCTGCCACTTGGCCGATCCATCTCAGTGGGGTCTTCCTGTTTTTCTCTGACCCTCCACCTTACCAAGCACCTCCACCTTACTTTCTCCAGCAACTAGTCCCTCCTGACAACATGTCCGAAGTATGAGAGACGAAGTTTGGCCATCTTGGCCTCCAAGGAGCACCCTGGCTGCACTTCTTCCAAAACGGATCGATTCGTTCTTTTGGCAGCCCATTGTTGTTCTTGTTATGTACCGTGGAGTTGGTTCCGACTCATAGCGACCCTGTACAGGGTTTCCGAGGCTGTAAATCTGTACAGGAGCAAAAAGCCTCATCTTTCTCCCGCGGAACAGCTGGTAGTTTTGAACTGCTGACCTTGTAGCTTGCAGCCCGATTCACAACCACTAAGCTACCAGATGGCACTTTCAATATTCTCCTCCAACACCATAACTCAAAAGCATCCTTATAGGGTAACTGAATTAGAACTGACTCCACAGCCTTACCACTAACATCAGTTTTCTGGGATTATGATGGGCCAATACTGGAACACTATTATGAAGAAGGTTCAATAATCAACCGTGCTTCTTACAGTGAGACGCTCACTGAAGACCTGAAGCCTAAACTTCGGATTAAACGCTAAGGACTGCTATCCAAGGGTATTGTGATTTTACATGACAGTACACGTCCCCACACCTCTGCCCACACTCTATAGTCCTAATCTTGTTCCATCGGACAGTCACCTGTTTGGTCCCCTGAAAACAGCCCTTCCAGGATGAAGATTCCCCTCTGGTGAAGAAGTGAAGACAGCGGTGCATTCGTGGCTCACAAGCAGCTCAGCCTAAGACATTTTAAAAACAAGGGCTATGAAAATTTGTAGTCAGATGGACAAAGTGTATTGAAAATCAAGGAGATTATGTTGAAAATGATGTATTTGTCTTTTCTAAAAGTTGATTAAAATACATGTACATAATTTTTGACTCCATCTCACCTAACTAGTTATGTTGCCTTTAATTCATGCACTTCTCCCCATATTTCCCCCTGTCTCCATCTTTTTATTTTTTTATACATCTTCTGATATCTACCACTCTTGCAGCAGCTCAAAAGAATGGCCTCTGCCCTAAAACCCAAGTCTGTGCTCTCAGGCAGGCATTTCATTACTAGTCATTGTCTTCAATCTTGAGGAGTGTCTTGTTTCCACCCTGGGCTGAATGACCACCCCTGATTCCAACAGGAGAGCTTTGGTGCTGCAGTGTTGAGTGCTCGACCAATAACCAAAGGGTCAGCAGCTGCTCCACAGGAGAGAGACTTGGCAGTCTGGTTCTGTAAAGATGCACAGCTGTCCTGTGGGGTCACTTTGCGACAGAATCAATACAACAGCAGTGGGTTTATGGTTCCAAGGTGTTAGTGCCAGAATTAGGGCCCTATTGTTCAGGCATCTACTCCTGAGGAGCCTCGAGCGTGGATTCCTGTCCAAATTACCAGTCCTGGGAATTTGCCCTTTAAATCCTTAAAGGTAAAAGGATTTATTTGCCTTGTTTTTCTCTCATAAGCTAGTTTAATTGCCCTATTGGAGCTCTGGTAGCATAGTGGTTATGAATCGGGCTGCGAACCACAAGGTCAGTAGTTCGAAACTACCAGCTGTTCCGTGGGAGAAAGATGAGGCTTTCTGCTCCCATAAAGATTTACAGCCTCCGAAACCCTGTACAGGGTCGGAACCGACTCGACAGCACTTAACAACAACAACAACATTGTCCTAATAGACATGATCATTTTAAAGGTCATGCCAAGGTCATTACAACATTCTTATTTTCCTGTAAAATAAAAACAATAAAACAAAATACCTCTAACATTTTTATAAACAATTAGCGTTCGTTATTTTATCTCTCCTTGCCCTCTTTTATTGTTCCTTCTAAATCACCACTATATTTTTCTGAAGACATCTTTACCAAGTTTGTTCTTTTCTCTTGCTCTTCAAATTGTTATACTCACATTTTCCTCAAATGTAGAAACATTCACTGGTTCTATTTTTAATGCCTGCAAGACTTTTTTGATTCTTTTGGCTAAATGAGAATAAATTGCTACCTCCACTCTTATAAATCTTTAAGATAGAAGAATTAGATGAACTTTGAAAATCTTATGTTGTAGTTGTTTTTGTGAAGTCAGTTCTGACTCATAGCATCCCTGTATAGGATTTTCAGGGACCGGCTGATGGGTTTGAACCACCGACCTTGTGTTTATCCTGAAGCTCCACACCAGGACCCCAGATGATGATGTGTAAATATAGTTGAAGCCCCCTACCCCCATAAATGGTAATAGCTGTTAACTCTGGTGACAAGTGGGGGCCTGGGGTGAAAGGAACAGTTATTTTTTTAATGTCAATCCTTTTGAATTTTTTTTACCTAATGCATTTATTCTTAATATTTTCAATTCTCCTTGTTCGCTAAACAAATTTATATCCTCACCAAATATAAAATGGTTCCTAATAAAAAGACTAGAGATAGGATTGAAATTCCCATCTTATTATGCCCATTTATCTACCGACTCCAACCACCCATTCACCTATCATTACATTCAGTGGTTTAAAGTTAAATGGGAACTTTCTAAAAATCTGCTCTGTGCTATTATAATTTCCACCAGTTCTAGCTAGTGTTTCTCCTGCAAATAGCTCAGTGCTTTGGCAGGCGAGCTATTTAATGCTTTCGCTGACTGCTTGAAAAGACTTGAGCTCTCCAAAACCCCTGCATTTTCTAATGGAAGCCAGAAGGACAGTCCAGCCCAATCCCAGAGCGCACAAAGCATCCCTGTTTCTCAAAGCAATAAAAATAGTGAAAGCTGCGTGCGGAGATATTTTGCAGTCTCCCCTTGTCTTGTGGTGATGGTGGTTTTGGATTCATTGTTTTCCCAAGAGAGGAGAGATGGAATGAGGAGAAAAGGCAATGGGAAGTGCCTATGGCTCCTCATTTGGTTATATTTCTCCTTATCTCTTTTGGGATTCTTTGGGAGTTAGCTGCTGAGACGGGGTTGGAGAAGACCCTGTATTTTCCATCCACAAAGCGATTCAGGGTAGCCATACCACTCATGCCTATTCCAAGAAGCCTGCGTGGCACTCTGGGTTAACCATTGGACTGCTAACAGAAAGACTGCATGCCTTTTGAATCCACTAGACACTCCATTGGGAGAGAATGAAGCTCTCGGCTTCTGTAAAGATTTAGGGCCCATGGAGCACATCTCCTCTGCCTTCTAGGTTACTATGAGTCTGAATCGACTCAACAGCAGCGAATATTCCTGTTCTAAGTTCTATTCACCAAACTCAGTGACTAGAGAAGGTCTGTCCTTTCTCTTTGACCACACATCCAGGAGTTGTGGACCCCCTGGAAGAATCATTGATGCTGCACCAGAGTACCTCATGACCCATGATGAGGGCTGAGGAGCAGGCCCACCATGCTCTTCTCCGAGGTTTTGACAACCAGGGCCACATACCTCCCAGCCCATTTCCTGCCCCAGCATTGACTCCTGTCTTGCTGCTGGGATCTTCCAGTAGGGTCCATTTTTATGTAAGTAAAAGACGAAAATAGAAGTCATTATATATGAAAAAGGAGAGGAGAATGTATGTTGTTGTTAAGTGCCATCCAGTCAGTTCTGCTCATAACAGCCTGTATAGTGTTTTCAAGGAGTGGCTGGTGAGTTTGAATTGCCTACCCTATGGTTCAAACCGACCTTATAGTCCAGTGCTTATCTTACAGTGCCACACCAGGAGGTCTCAAACCTTTTCATGGGCTGTGTCTTGTCCTGCTTAACTGATCTGAAACACTCTAAGAGTAGTAGCTTGAGCCCTAATGGCATAGTCAGGGTTCTTGGGTGACAAAAATTGTTTGGGCTCAACTACTAACCTAAAGGTTGGAGGGCAAGCCCACCCAATAGCACTGCAGAAGGAAGTCTTGGCAATCTGCTCCATGAAGATCAGTTGTTGTTGTTAGGTGCTGTCAAGTCAGCTTTGATTCATAACAACTTTGCAAATAACAAAGAAATGTCGTCTAGTCTCGCACCATGCTCACAATCATTGCTATTGCAGACACATGTGAATCCATCTCGTGAGGGGCATTGTGTAACAATGTAACACTGTAACACATGGGGCCACAGGGAGGTGGACTCTACAGCAGTAGGTACTTTTGGTTTCGTTTTTTGGTGCTTAATGACAGAAGCAGCACTCAGAAACCACAGAACTTGCTTCCATTTTTTTTTGAGATTTTCTCCAGGTTTTTGTTTATTTATTTTTTGATTTGAATCTGCTGGGGCCCTGGTGGATTCTGCCGAAGGGGCAAAAGGAACCTTTGAAAAGTCAGAAAACAAGAGGACAATCCAAACACAGGACAATTTAAAATCTGAGACTGGATAAACTGACGTAAACCCAATCAACATCAACATCTCTTCTTCTCATTCCATTGACCCATAAAGAAGTTTCTAGTCTGCTGTTCTCTTCACACATAATCAGATAACAGAATTAATCAAGGGACCCCCTTACTGAGAGTACACCCTATCTGGGCCCCACCTCAAAAAAGAAAAGGGAAAAAGGGCTGAAAGTAAGGCCATGAAAAACACTTTTGGTATTGTGACAGTTCCTTGGCTCAGACGTCCCCTCTTTTTGGGTGGGCAAATATCAGTCAATAGGTTGAGGGAGAAGCATGAAAGCTCCCTCATGTTTTCTGTGTCAGACAGACAGTACTCAAGCTGTTTGCTTCTTATATTTGTCTGCATCTTAGATGACAAAAAGGGATCCAATGATAGTTGAAATTGGGAAAAAAGTCTGGGTTGCTACCTCCCAAGTTATATCTGCAAAAGAAGTATTGTTGTCGTTGTGTGCCACTGAGTCCATTCTGACTCATAGAGACCTTACATGACAGAGTAGAACTGCCCCCTAGGGTTTGCAAGGCTCTGGTAGCATAGTGGTTACGAATTGGGTTGCGAACCGCAGGGTCAGCAGTTTGAAACTACCACCTGTTCCGCGGGAAAACCATGAGACTTTCTGCTCCTGTAAAGATTTACAGCCTCAAAAACCCTATATATGGGGTCACTATGAGTCGGAACCAACTCTACGGTACTTAACAACAACAACCACTTTCATGGGAACAGATTGCCACGCCAGGTCATTCTCTTGGAGAGTAACTAGTGGTTTTGAACCTCCAATCTTTTTTTTCTTTTTTTTTAAGCAGCTAAGCTTTTCAGCATTGAGCCACCAGGGCTCCTCGAAAAAAATAGATTTGTTGTTGTTAAGTGTGGTAGAGTTGGTTCTGACTCATAGTGACCTATATAGGATTTCTGAGGGGCAACTGGTGGGTTTGTACCACCAACCTTCAACTTAGCAGTCCAGTAAGACTACAGGGCCACATAAGACACTAAGTAGTACATGTCTGAAATCATGTAACACAATTATTTTCAATATGTTGTTGTTGTTAAGTGCCGTTGATTCGATTCCGACCCATAGTGACCCTGTATAGGGTTTCCAAGGAGCAGCTGGTAAGCTTGAACCACTGACTGTGCAGTTCAAATGACTTTCTGACGCATTAGTTCACAGTGCCACCCCAGGACTCCCATTTTCAAATAGGACCATCATAAGATCCAAAACTCATCAACCACCTTAACTCTGTCATTCAAACAAGATCACAGTTTGGAGACCAGGCATATTCGCACTTGCCTCTGGGAACCTGGCTTAACATCAGCTAAAGGCTAATGAGTGGCAGAGGCTGGCCCATTTGTGGAACTTCACAGGTGACCAGATCTGAGCTATTGAGGAGCAGTGGTCAGGTGGATGTAGTCTAGCCAGTGTGGGTGGGAGGCATTTTGTGTCAGGAACAGTAGTCTTTCTTGGTGTCAGAATTTTCCACGTAGGTGCCTACGGCTCATAATACTCAGCTGACTCCAGGGGCCCAAGAAATAGGGACAGTTAGCTGAGACGACAAGGTGCTTGGGAACTTTGCAGAGTGCTAACACTCATTTGAAATGGGTGACTTCTTCTATTAAGCCATATTAAAAATGTGCGTTTAGCCTTATAGTTGTTAAGTGCTGTCAAATTGGTTCCGATTCATAGTGATTCTGTATAGCGTTTCCGAGGAACAGCTGGTGGGTTTGCACTGACAGCCTTGTGGTTCAGAGTCCAATGCTGATCTTACAGCGCCACACCAGGAGATCCCCAGCTGACTGAGTGTGAAAGAGGCAGACTCCCAGTAGCAGCAGCAAAGGTAGTAGCAAAATCACCCGAGGGCTTTTGTTAGACATGCAGATTCTCAAGCCCCACCCCAGACCTACTAAATCAGGTTCTGCAGTGTAACAAAATCTACAGGTGAAACATGCACTTTGAAACAACCTTGACCAGTAACTATGAAAAAAAGCTCCAAATCTCACTCAAGACTGTTTGTGATCTCCAGGCAGGAAGGGCTACGGTGACCTCTCTGGGTCTGGGGAGAAGCGCTGAAGAACATGTGAAGGCAAGCCAGTTTACACAAACCCAGTAAGGGGATTGGAAAGGGCTGTCATCCCCTGAGCTAGGAGAAGAGAAATGAAAGTGCAACCAGTCACACAGAAAACTGAGTTCGATTTAAGACCATAGATAAAAAGAGACTCAGCTTGTGGTGTTTTACCTCTGACCTGTTGTGCTTGGCTAGGAAATGAAAGCTTTGAATATGGCCACCCGGACTCTCCTCATCTGGCTGCATGGGACCCTGATGACATAGGCCAATCCTGTCAAGAGCTGGGATGTGCATGTTTCCCAGAACTAGCTGGTGAGTTACAGTTTTCAACAACTAGTTCTCGGTATCATCTTCCTAATAATGGCCTGGGATAGTCAACAGAAATACTACTAGCTCCCAGCTTGGTGTTAGCTGTGGCTCAGACGACTCTGAAGCCATGGAAAGAGTTTACAACATGCCAGCATGTTCTTTCGTGAGTTTTTATTAAGTGCTGATGAGTCAGTTCTGACTTATAGCAACCCTGGTTAGGGTTTCTGAGGAGTGACTGGTGAGTTTGAACCGCTGACCTTGAGATTCAAACTGACCTTATGGTCCAGTGCTCATCCTACAGTGCCACACCAGGACTCGTACTGGTCACATGATAGCCTGATAGTTCTCAGAATTGCCTCCTCACAAGGCATCTGAAGAGATATAGAAGTATTTTTATTTATGGGTATGGGTGTGGCCGGCAATGCTAAACCATCTCATAAGGTTATAGGATAGTTCCCCACAAGTAAGAAGGGCCTTGCTCAAGATGTTATTATGCCCCTGTTGGGAAACTGCAAGACTGTATTTGAAAATGTTCTCTCTAGTTTGAAAAGCAAGGGGCACATTGGCTAGGACTCTGCTATCTGAGGTTACTGCTGAAACCTACTCTGCTAGTAAGACATTATTGTCAGGAAAGATGCTTTGAAACATCAATATATTTGGTGGTGGTGTTGTTAAGTGCCATCGACCCTGTATAGGGTTTCCAAGGAGTGACTGGTTAGCTTGAACTGCCGACCTTGCAGTTCAAACTGACTTTGTAGTCCAACATATTAAACCACAGCATTACAATATTCAAGAAATAATAATATTCAAGAAAATATTGGAACAGCTGTCATTATTTTCCCTGATGCAGTTTTCTGAAGTCGATAAGCTAAAAGCATTGATGCAGTGTTCTCATTCATGCAGTGGCAGGAACCAGAACCAGTGCATGGATGATCCCTTCCTCTTAGCACTGCTGTTTCCCCTCAATTGTAAATTGATCTTTTCTATTAAAAGAGTCCTGGTAGGGCTGCTAACTGCAAGGTTAGTAGTTCAAATCTAACAGTTGTTACACGGGAGAGAGGAGGCTTTCTGCTCCCCTAAAGTTTGATACCCTTGAAAACTCTGTACATGGTTGATAAGAGTCGGAGTGATTCAGTGGTACGCAACCACTACCAGCACCACCATAATAGAGTAGCTGTAGAGCTCTAGCAAGACTAAGCGGCAGCTCACTGAAGTGGTGAAAGTGTGGGTTCATATCTGAGCTCCAACACTGACTAACTGTGGGATCTTGGGCAAGTTATAGAAACTCACTGTGCCAGTCTTCTTTAGCAACCAGGGAAGAAAATACAAAAGGCTGTTGGGGGTTTACATGAATAAAATAAAAAAACCACACCTACTCCCACTGAGTCGATTCCCACTCACAGCAACCCTTTAGGACAGAGTAGAATTGCCTGGTACAAAGTAAGTATTTATAAATGTTAGCTATTCACAATACATGTTATGCTATTTTTTCTTTTTTTTTCAAGAAAAGATCCGTCTATTCAGAAGTGAAACTGACTCAAGTTCCAAGAAATGTGCAGTTTCATAAATGCTGAGAGAAATTGTATTCAGATGGTTTTCCACTCAGCATTCAGTTCTTTAATGCCATCAAATTCTTCTAGCAGTAGTATTGATTTTCCTCTCAACTATTACAAGATTTTCTAGCAGATGAGAAATAAATGAGTAGCCTTTCCAATCACTGAAATGAAAAGCTGGTTCTGCTTAATTAGGCGAGTTATACATGGTTTTCTCTCATTTCATGCAACATACATAAGAGTATAATCCATCAGGGTTTTAATAAATGACGTTAGCAGCAGCAGCAGGGTCTTTGGAAAGACTAAGGATTTTAGAACCGACAGACATGGTTTTGAACACAGGTTTTCCCCTTACTAGTTGTAAGTCTTTGGGCACATTGATATTATTTAAGCTCTCAGCTCTTGGGTTTCTTCTCTGCAAAATCGGGGGAAATATCTGCCTATTTCAAATAGCTGGAATGAGGATGAATGAGAATGTTTGTGAAATGCCCAACCTCATGTCCCCTATGTTGAAAGCATTAACTTACATCTCTTCAGTGAGAACATCTGGGTTTGGGAATTTACAGTCACCGCTGGCTTTCAATAATACATAGATGGGATATATTACTTAGAAAGGACCAAAGTATGTTGTATTTCCTGGTGAGATAATTACAGCTGCTTTTACTTTTCTTTGTATGTTTTTGTATTTTGCAATTTCTTTTTCACAATGAACATGCACTGTGAAAGTTATGAAGTAAATGTAAGAAATTTATGAAATAACTTTCTAAGAAAGTTAGGAAATAAATATGAAATCAAGTTATCAGTTTGTGTCAATTTCTGTGTAACTACTTATTATATCTGGAGTCCTGGTGTGGCGCTATGGGTTAATGCACCAGACTGCAAAGCCGTTTGAACTGCAAGGTTAGCGGTTCAAGCTCCTCAGAAACCCTACACAGGGTCGCTATGGGTCGGGATCGACTCGATGGCATTTAACAACAAAACTTATTATATATGCTCTCAACAAAGTAAGTCTAGGTAACCTTATGGAAAAATAAGAAAACACAAATACTCTTACTGTATGTTGTTAGTTGCCACTAAGTCAGTTCCAGCTCATGGAAACTCCACGTGTGCAGAACAGAACTGTGCTTCATAGTTTGGGAATCAAATCGTCAGACCTGTCTTCCAAGGCTCTTCTGGGTGGGTTCAAACCACCAACCCTTCAGCTAGTAGCTTAATCCTTAATCCAGGGACGTCATACTCTTAGTGTAAAATGTCTTAATTGCTGAATTTTTGTTAACTCAGGCCAACACTAATTACTTGGTGTTTTGGACAACATACTTTTAGCATTTAGATGAAGCATACAAAGATATGTCTTAGAATTCGTATTTTTAGTTTGTCCATATGCTTACGAAAGTCCTGGTGTGGCGCTGTGGGTTAATGCTCTGGACTGCAAAGTCCATTTGAACCTCAGGGTCGGGGGTTCAAGCTCACCAGCCACTCCTTGGAAATCCTATACAGGATAGCTATGAGTTGGAACTGACTCAAGGGCACTCAACACCATCAGCATATAATGATGGGTTGGGACCTGAGAACCACTCCTTGGTGTAGGCTGTTCATGCTGTTGAGTCAGTTCTAACTCATAGAAACCCTGTGTGTGCAGAGTGGAACTGTTCCTGTTTTCAAGGCTGTGACCTTTTGGAAGCAGGTCACCAGGCTGGTCTTCTGAGGTACCTGTAGAGGGGTCTGAACCACCAGCCTTTCAGCCAGTTGAGCACTTAATCATCTGTGCAACATAGGGACTTCATGTTGTAATTTGCCTGCTGTCATCAAGTCAATTTTGATACACAGCAACTCTATAGGACAGTGTACAAATTTCCCCAGACAGTTCCCAAGGCTGGACATCTTTATGGACTTGGACTGCCCCATCTTTCTCCCAGAGCGGCTGGTGCATTCAAACTGCCAATCTTTTGGTGCTCTAACCAGTGCACCATCATAGCTTCTTGTTAACAATTTAAACTTCCTTTGAAAGCAGGCTGAGTCTGAAGTTTATATGCAAGTGCCCAGTTCAGGAGTGCAAATCCGTGGGAGAAGGGAAGAACAGGTTTACAATGGGGGCAGGGTGTTCCTTCTGGGATATGCATGAGTGGGTTCCAGGTGGAACCTGCCAGTCTCTCATGACTCTAAGTCAGTAGGCAAGCCCTGGGGAGGAGCATGCCATCGTATGGTCACAAGATGTAGTTCTGGTCTGCATGCATTTAAAGCTTGTTGAAGTCCATGGTTGCCATCATGGTAACTGGCTAGAATAAGTGATACCTCAAGTGTGATCTGAACAAGATTGGCAGGTAAAACTTACCAGTTGCTCCTTGGAAACCCTATACAGGGTTGCTATGAGTCAGGACCAACTCAACCGCACCTAACAAGAATAAGTAGCTGATCCTCTTTGACTCATGGTGGTCCTGTGTATGTCAGAATAGAACTGTGCTCTGTTGGGATTTCAATGACTGATTGTTTTGGAGATCAGGCCTTTTCCCCAAGGTACCACTGGGTGAATGGTACTACTACCAGGAAGTAGTAAGGCACTTAACCCATTTGTGCCACCCAGGGACTCCTAAAACATGGACAGGTAATCCTATTAATTCAGAAAACAGCCTTCATGTGCCCTTTAGAAAAACGGGATTATATTTACCTATATCACATTCCCTGATGTCTTATTAAGAATGTGAGCTAGCAAGAAAAAACAAGTTCTTATAATAAGGTCAGAGCACAGAACTAGATCATGTGCATCATTAAATCCACCCACTTCAGTTTAATATGGAAATTGAGGATCTAGGCAGATTCTTGGGAACTGAAAAGCTGATCCAGGTCCCGGAAGTACTTTGTGAAACCCACGCAGAAGTTCTTATTCTTGTTTCATCTGTATCTCAGGAACTGGAGCATCATTTAAATTAAGTATGGCCCAAGATAACATGTAAGCCAGTAATACAACCATTAGAAGCCAGGTCTTTTCCTAAATCACACTTTTTGTCCAGATGGGTTGTTTCTTACTGGTCAGCCACGGAAAATTCCCAGTTAGTCCTGAAATATTTGCTGAGTTGCCCAGGGCTATAACACCACAGGACAAAATTTGGATATTCAAAGGGAGCAGTGTGATTTAATGATACAGAATTTCAAACACGGCAAGAAAGAACATCAGAAAGAAGATCCTTCTACCAGGAAATTTCTTCTTGACATGTCTATAACCCTGTTTTTGTGCTACTAGTTTTTCTCTTTTAATTAAAAAAATTAAAAGGTTGTTGCCATGCTCTTCCTATTTTCAAACTGTTGTTGTTAGGTGCCATAGAGTCAAGACTGCTCATAGCGACCCTGTGCACAACAGAACAAAACACTGCCTGGTCCTGAGCCAACCTCACAATTGTTGCCACGCTTGAGCCCATTGATACTGCCACTTTGCTAATCCATCTAGCTGAGGGTCTTCCTCTTTTTCTCTGATCCCTCCACCTTATCAAATATGATATCCTTCTCCAGCAACTGGTCCCTCCTGACAACATGTATGCGAAACGAAGTTTGGCCATCCTGGCCTCCAAGGAGCACTCTGGCTGCACTTCTTCCAACACAGATCTATTGGTTCTTTTGGCAGCCCATGGCACCTTCAATACTCTCCTCCAACACCATAACTTAAAAGCATCAATTCTTCTACGGTCTTCCTTATTCACTGTCCAGCTTTCACATCCATATGAGGTTACTGAAAATACCATGGCTTGGGTCAGGTGCACCTTAGTCCTCAAGTTGATATCTTTGCTCTTCAACACTTTCAAAAGATCTTGTGCAGCAGATTTGCCTAATGCAATACGTCGTCTGATCTCTAGACTGCTGCTTCCATGAGTGTTGATGGTTGATTCAAGAAGAATGAAGTCCTTGACAACTTCAATCTTTTCTCCATTATAAGAATGTTGTTTATTGGCCCGTGGTGAGGATTACTGTTATCTTTACATTGTGATGCAGTCCATACTGTAGAGCCCTGGAAAGATGGAGACTAATACACTGAAGTCACAAAGAAAATGTTATTCTTCTTGATCTTTTACTTTTCAATTAAAAAAAAAAACAAGCAAACAAAACTTGGTTTTTATAATCATTTTTAGTAAGTTCCTACTCAAAGTTTCAAGTAAATTACTAAATAGTAACATTGCAAATAATTTAACCTTGGAAGTAACAGTGAGGATTTATGTAGTTTGATGATGCAATCAGAAACAGGCTGAACACATTTTAAAAACAAAACAAAAACCCAACAAGTCCAGTTTCTTTTAATTTAAAAAGTTTTACTTAACTGCTTAAATAAAAAAATAATGTTAAAATAATTTCTACATATAGTTACAAAGGATGGTATAGCTTGAAAGTCTCCTGTAATTTTGAAAAGGTGAACATGATGTATTCATAGTGTGCTAAGAATACAGTACATTTTAAACTAAAGACTTCTAATTCTTGGTAAAGCTAGAGGAGCCAAGAGACCTCAAAGTAAACCTACTTATTTTAGTCAACAACTTTTATGGAATGGATGCTTGTGAGAGACTGGGTGTGAGTTGATCTGGTTCCAAGAGATCGAGAAGCAGAGGTAATACTTTCAGGACGGATAGCCCGAGGATATTTTGCTGCTGTAGCTTGAGGAATGGTTTGCTGAAAAGAAAAAAATCCGCTTTAATACAAAATTGTATTATCACTTCATCTATAATTTAACCCAACAATCATTTGTTAAGCACCCAAAAGACCCAAACAATGAGTTGGATGAAGTAGCCATCTAAACAAACAAGATGTCCTTTTCCAAAGGAACCCACACTCAGTTAAGACTGATGTGCTCAACAATCTTGGTTAGTATTAGAGTTATATTTCAGAGGATCAACGAGTCATGGGAGTGACTTCTCAAAGAAGAATCAAAGGGAATCCTGTACTGTTCATAGAGGCTAAGCATGGGAAGGAGCTCTGTGGTGCCTGAAGATGGGTCAGCCCCAAGTCATCCCTTCATTATTCCAGTCAGCTTCCTCCTCTCTGTGTGACTGATTACACATGGAGTCTAGTCCTGGGAATTGAATCTGGTCCTTGCTTCAAACGAGAGTAAGGCAAAGCCCTCATATTTCACCGGGTTTCCTGTTTTGTTAGGTGCTGTCAAGTTGGTTCTGACTCATAGCGACCCTGCGCTATCATACGAGAGTTATTACCAGTTATTGAAATCTAACTGAATCTTCTGTAGTCACAGAAGACATCTTCCTAGAAGCTGGCGGTCCTCTAATATGGACCACAGCTTTCTAAATAAGGAGATAATTAAAGATTGGGAATATGCTGAGGCGCAGAAATACACATTACCTCAGAGCTCAGAAATAACCTTTATCATGAGCACAGAAGCATTAAAGTCAGGGTCAAAGCACTGAAGACTACATCTATCTTAAGTCTTTGAGTCCAATCTCTTACTAAGTTTCAAGCTTTACTACATTGTACTCGATATAACTTCTTAGCAGCCAGCAGTGACTAGTACATATAGATTAGGTTCTTCCTCCTAGAAAAATCTTTTAAAATACTTAAAATCATAGATATTTGATCAAAACATTCACTAAGTATTTTAAAACTGTGAAGATATAGCTTTTGCTTAAAACATGAATAAAAGCTCTTAAAAACAAATGATCCTATGCCAGATTCTACTTTCAAAACAACAGAACTCTTCTTAGGAGAAATAACCTGACCCTGGTGTGGCGCTATAGGAAAAGCACTGGACTGCTAACTACCAGGTTGGTGGTTCAAACCCACCAGTCTCTCCTTGGAAACACTATACAGTGTTGCTATGAGTCAGAACTGACTCGAGGGCACTTAACAACAGCAACAACAACAACCTGACCTTGGAGTTCTGTTGTGGCACTGTAAGATACGTCACTATGAGTTGGAACCAAGTTGATGGCACTTAACGACAATAATAACAATCTGACCCTATCAACAGAACTATTTCTCCTTAGGAAGGAAGGGCAAGGGGAAATGCAGAAACAGTAATTAGAGTGGACCGTCAAGTCAGTTCTGCCTCCCAGTGACCTTGACAGGGTTTCTGAGATACTCTGCACAATAAACACTGGACTGTGGTTTGCAATCTAGTCCTTACTGTACAGAGCCACCACACTCCCCACACTGTTGTTGTTGTTAAGTGCCGTGAAGTCAATTCCGACTCATTGTGACCCAAGGAGTGGCTGGCGAGCTTGAACCGCTGACCTTGCCATCCAGCGCGTTAACCCCCAGGTGTTAGGATATACACAATATGGAGAGGATGAAGCAGTGCCAGGGGCAAACACTGTCCAGCAGGTGGGGCCAATCTGTCACATACCTGACTTGGTTTATTGGTAATAACCTTCTGATAGCTCTAAATCTCGATTCCTCGATTAAAACAAAAACCAAACAAAAAGAACAGAGGACTGCCATTGTGCCCCTCACAGAATTCAAATTAGAGAAAAATGGATATAGCTTATAGCTATCCAATATATCAATTACCACAGAAGCACTGTACACAGGGAACAAGCAGATGGTAGACGAATAAATAAAACCCTTAGGTTTGCAGTTCCTTAGTTTTTCTTCTGTAAAGTAGAAATTCCTATCGTTATCACAGAAACCAAAGACTGTCTAAATTAAAAATCAAAAGTACACACGTGCCCTCTCTAGTCCTTCTTTAGGTCACAATCTCTCTTTATGCAGGACTCTGTGCCTCCACCTCTGGTCTTCCACGTCACATGGTCACATTTTACCTGATGTATAATTTAAATAGTCTGTCCAGGAAGAAAATGATTCCAAATCATCCAGACACCTTTTACTGTTAATAGCTCAACATACTAATCAATCATTATTTCTCTTAGACATGCGCTCTAGTAATTTCTTTTTTGAAATTCAACTTTTGTAGTTAATTTTGGATCCACAAGCAGTTAGAAAAGATAAAGAGATCCCATGTACCTTCTCTAGTAACGTCTAGTAAGTCAAATTTGCTTTTGGTTTTATAGTTTACAGAGTGCCTTTACATAGCTCACTTACTTTTCACTTTATATATCTATTTATTTTTGAATCCTGAAAACAACCTTCTCTTCATCACTCGAGGTTTTTCTTTTTTTAAGTATACTATGAACTTATTGCCAACATATGTTTTGTTTTCCTTTTTAAACTAGAAATACAAGGACAATTGTAATGAAAAAAAAGGAGAAGATTTAAATACTACTACTATTACTAATAAAAAAGACCAGTGGACTGCCATTGTGCCCCTCACAGAATTCAAATTAGGTAATTTGGGGGAAGAAGAACTAAACCCAGAAATGAAAAACTGATAACAGTAGAAAAGCATTTATATATATATATATATTGTCTTTTTGGCCACTGGCACACTTGACTACTTTTCCTATTTGGTAATTTTGACACTGTTTGGAAGAAATGCCATTTCCAAGACTCATTTCCCAACAGAGGACAGACTGGATGACTATAAATACGCAGAGGCTACAAGAGTACAAGGCGGAACAAGTGCCAGTAACCACAGATTGGGGTCTTCCAACATACCATTTCACTGGTTTTCAGTCGCTTAGGAAAATGTTTTTTTTTTGACAAAAGGCCATCAAATGTAGACTCACCACTGTGACAGGATGATGCTTTTCCACAACAACTGAGCTCATGGGAGGAGAAACTCCCATTATAGCTAAACCACTACTAATTCTATTTTTTGAAGCAAAATCACATCGCCCTGTGACCCGGGCTGTAATTGTTCTTCCAGCTTTCTGTTGTGCGGATGTCACAACTCTTGGCACATACTAAAACAAAACAAAACAAAACAAAACAAAGAGAGATCCAGTGAGTGGAAAAGCCATAGCAAAATTTAGAGCTTTATGATTCTATACTTGCTGAAGAAAATAACTGTCTATTCAACCAACGTTAAAGTGCAAAAAAAATCAGAGCTTCAACAAATGAGAAACAAACAACAAACCCGCAAACTTAAGACCCAGTAGCCCAAGAAACCGTCAAACCTCGATATACTATTTTATAGAATTTTGTGCATTTCTTCTTAAACTGTTTATTTAGAAATAATTACAGATTCACAAGGGACAATAAATAGCCAAGTTGTGTGTATTCTTCACTCAGTTTCTGGCAATGATCACATGTTACATATTTATAGAATAATACAATATCAAAACGAGGACCCTGACAATGGTCAAGCATAGATGTATACCATTGTATCACACACAGAAATTCATGTAACTACCACTGCAGCCAAGCTACCAAGCCAGTCCACTGCTCCATGTCTTAAGAGTCACAGCCACCTGCCTTCCCATTCCTAACCCCCAGTGAGCACTAGTCGTCTGTTTTATACCTGCTTTAACAAATTCCAGTTTGTCTACCATTTTCAGTTCTTGAGAACAGGTATTCTTTCCATGCTATGTGGAGTATGATTCTGTAAAACAGGGCTGCCCTATCCTGTTCAGAGTTATTTCCACAGGATGTTGTTTTTGTTGTTAAGTACCATGGAGTCGGCTCCGACTCATAGTGACCCTGTACAGGGTTTCCGAGGCTGTAAATCTTTAAGGGAGCAGAATGCCTCAGCTTTCTCTTGCGGAACCGCCTTTTCCACAGGATATGTTGCCAAAAATGGAAGGATCACACCAAAGAAAGTCCGTTTTTACGGCTTTTGTTGCTTACTGCTAGGCGATCTCACAGAAGACTATGCTTATGTCAGGAGTAATACTAAAAATACTGTCATTTTAATAATTTAAATCTGAGGTAGAATCTACTGTATAATTTATGGTTCTAAAAAAGAACCATATTAATTAAAAACTATTATTAAGGTTTCATATTTATATGCCGTTTTTGCCAACAACCCATGTTCTTTAACTTTTCGCCATGAGAAGGGAGATTATTGCTCTTAGAAGTTTTCTGGAACAGCTTTTGATGAGTATGAAGCTCATTTAATACAGATTTGCACCTGATTTCTTTTTCAGTGCATATACGTTTTACGAATTATCACCAATCTTGTTATTAATTTCTTCTTACTTCCACAATTAAGACAAAAACAATCTGCTTCGACAGCTTTGATAATTTCACTACTATCTTCAATCTAATTTTTAAAATCTGAAATTTCATTGTGAAGTATTTATCTAATTTCATTTTGTCCTCTAGTTTTTGAAAAGCATTGATTAAATATTCACCTTTTCCCTATTGCTATCTAAACTGTCATTCATTAAGTTACTCAGATCTGAAGGTGCTTAAAAAAGTTCAGGGAAAAATGGAATTAAAAGACAGTGACATTTTTTTCATGAATTTTTGAAGCCCCCTTGTATTTGCATCTCGCTGTAGAAGGTCACAGCTAGAATGACAGCGTCTGCAGTCTCTGGAAAAGTACAAATGACAGAAGACTGATGTGTTTAAAGGACCTCAGGCAAAACAGGATTAGTGATGTTTTGCATTTCCTTGGTGTGGCAAGAATTAATTACAGTTGCTTATAAAACCAACCCCACTCTCCCCCGAAAAAAGCAATTAATTCCAGTAACAGAAAAATTATAGGCAAAAGGAAATGCAGTTCTAGCACACAGCTGGGTGTAGTGGGTGTGTACGGTGATGTGCAGTCTTCCTAGACACTGATTTATCAAATATTAGCCGATCTACACCTATTATCTATATGCATGAATAGGAAGGGTAGCAGCAAGGAAGAAAAAAAGAGGCAGGAAGGTGGCATCAGAAGACAAAATCTTTTTCCTCTATAATAGGAAGTCAGGAGATGATTATTCAAAAATTAGAAATAACGATGAAAACATATTCTTAAGTCAAATAGAAAAAAAACCCGCTAACAGAGCTACTTCTTGTTCTTAGTGCCTTTCAGTCAGTTCCGACTCACAGCGACTTTGAGGATTTCTGAGGAGTGACTAGTGGGTCTGAACCTCATGATGTGCTTTTCCTACAGTGCCACACAAGGATTCCTAATAGTTTGTTGTTGTTGTTATTGCCTTTGGGTTGAATCCAACTCACAATGACTCGGTATTGGGTTTCCGGGGAAGGGCTGGAAAGCTGAACCGCCAACCTTGCAGTTCAAACGGACCTTGTGTGGTTTAGGAGGAGGGATTTAGAGAACAGTTTCTTACTATTATTCTTGTAGGAACTACTCTGCTTTGTAAACTATGAGCTTTTTCTGGATCTTATGAATATGAGAAACCAAATATCAGATTTAAAAAATATCACAAATGTTTTATGGTCTAAATTAATATTTCTAACATTGGGGAACTTTTCATTCTTTACATTTATCATAAAACAAGGTACAAAAGAGATTCGATGACTTGCTAAAGATTCTTAAACTACAGAAGAAAAATTGACAGCAAGAAAATTATTGACCAAAAATTGAAAAAAACTGAACTTTTAACATATTCCTGTCCTATCACAGTTTAGAATTGATGCATTAGAATTATGGTGTTGGAGACGAATACTGAAAGTTCCATGAACTGCCAAAAGAACAAACCAGTGTGTCTTGCAAGCGGTAAGGCCAGGGTACATCTAGGGCCTGCTAAGTGAGCATGCTAAGACTTGTCTACCGTTCTTTTGACATGCCATCAGGAGGGACCAGTCCCTGGAGAGGGATACCATGCTTGGTAAAGTGGAAGGTCAGCAGAACAAGAGGAAGAACCCCCCACCCCCAATGAGATGGGCTGACAGAGTGACGGCAATAATGGGCTCAAACGTAACCATTGTGAGCATGGTACAGGACCCGGCAGTACTTCCTTGGGTTGAGCACAGGGTCACCAGGAGATGGAACGAACTCCAGGGCACCTAACGTCGTCATCATCCCACCTGAGGGATATGCAGCAGCTCGAGTTACCAAAGTGTATGTTATGGACAACTCCTACTTGCCCTTTTGTGTCAGTCATGTAAATCTGCCATCACTTTGAAATGATCGAACAAATTAAATTCTTCATCACAACCTCTGCATGTGTAACCTTTAAATCATTTTCAACTTTCTTATTCATGATTCAACTTTCACATGCATATGAGATGACTGAAAATACCCAGGCTTGGGTCCTTACTCCTCAAAGTGAGATCTTTGTTCTTGAACACTTTGAAACAGATCTGCCTAACGCAATACGTCATTTGATCTCTTGACTGCTGCTGCCATGAGCATTGACTGTAGTTTCAAGCAAAATGATGTCTTTGACAACTTCAATCTTTTCTCCTTTTATCATGATTTTATTTATTGGTCCTGGTGTGGCATTGCAGGATACTGCACCTGGACCACAAGGTCAGGTTGAACTGTAAGGCTGGTGTTTCAAGCTCACCAGCCGTTCCTCAAAAACCCTATACAGGGCCACGATGTGTTGGAACTGACTTGATGGAACTTAACAGCAACATTTATTGGTCCAGTTGTGAGGATTTTGATTTTCTTTACATTGAGGTGCAATCCATACAGAAGGCTGTAGTCTTTACCTTCATCAGTAAGTATATTCAGTCCTCTGTGCTTCCAGCCCTGGCATGGCCCTGTAAGATAAGCACTGGACTGGTACCACAAAGTCGGAAGTTCAAACCAAACAGCCACTCTCGGAAACCCTATACAGGACTGCACTTAACAATATGCTTCCAGAAAAATTGGATCATTTGTGTTACCGGGTTGTTAATGAGTCTTCCTCCAATCCTGATGCCATACTCCTCCTCTTCATATAATCATGCTTCTAGGGTTAGTTGCTCAGCATACAGATTAAATAAGTATGGTTAAAAGATACAGTCCTGAAGTACATCTCTCCTGATCTAAACCAGATCTAACAACTATCTCTTGGCATATGTACAGGTTCCTCATGAGGACAATTAAGTGTTCTGGAATTCCCATTCTTCACAACATTATCCAGTTTATTATGATCCACACAGTCGAGTGCCTCTGCATAGTCAATAAAGCACAAGTAAACATTCTGGCATTATCTGCTCTCAGCCAAGATCAATCAGATGCCAGTAATGATATCCCTTATTCTATAGCCTCTTCTGAATCTGGATTGAATTTCTAGTAGCTCTTTGTAAGATTTACTGCTACAACTGTTTTTGAGTTATCTTCAGCAAAATTTTCCTTGCATGTAATATTAATGATGATTTCTGCATTCTATTGAGTCACTTTTCTTTGGAATGGGAACAAATACGAATCTATCTTTCAAATTTCTTGGCAGAGATGAGTGCCTCCAGTGCTACATCAGTTTACTGAAACATTTCAAATAGTATTCTAGCAATTCCTTGAGCCTTGTTTTTCACCAATGCCTTTACTGACGCTTAGGAGTTCTTCCTTCAATAACACTAGTTCTCAATCATATGCTAACTCCTGAAATGGTTGAACATCAACCAATTCTTTTTGGTACAGTGATTATGAGTACTCTGTTCATCTTTTTTGATGCTTCTTGTGTCATTCAACATTTTACTCATGTTGTTGTTGTTAAGTGTGTCGAGTTGGTACCAACTCATAACGACCCTGTGTAGGGTTTCCGAGGAGCGGCTGCTGAGTTTGAACCACAGACCTTGCAGTCCAGTGTTTATCCTAATCTTTCAGTACTGTAACTCGAGGCTTGGATTTTTCTTCAGTTCTTTTAGCTTGAGAAATGCTGAGCATGTTCTTCCCTTTTGATTGTCCAAATCCAGGTTTCTGTATATTTTATTCTAATACTTGGCTTTGTCTTCTTGAGCTGCCCTTTGAAATTTTCTGTTCAGCACTTTTACTTCATCACTTCTTCCAGATGCTTTAGCTTCTCTATATTTCAAAAGCAAATTTCAAAGCCTCTTCTGACATCCATTTTTTTCGTGTCTTTCTTTCTAGTCTTTTAATAACCTTTTATTTGCTTCATGGATAATATTCTTGATGTCATCTCACAACTCTTTTGATCTACGATCACCAAATCTGTTTTTAAGATCGTCTCTAAATTTAGGTGGGGTATACTCAAGGTCATATTTGGCTTCCATGGAATGGTTTTATTTTTATTCAGCATTAGTCTGAACTTGAACATGAGCAATTGATGGTGTGTTTTTGTCTTATTTTGGCTGATGTATTGATGTTCTCCACCAATTCTTCCAAAGACACAGTCAATTTGATTCCCATCTGGTGAGATCCATGTGTATAATTGCTGTTAATGTGGTTGCAAAAGGGTATTTGTAATGAAGAAAGTTGTTGAAGTTGGAAAATGTGATCATGCATCTAAACCCCATTGTTTCTATCATCAAGGCCATATTTTCTAACTATAGATCCTTCCTCTTTGTTTTCAAATTTGTCATTTCAATCACCAGTAATTATCAACGCATCTTGATTGCATGTTTGATCAATTTCAAACTGAAGAAGTTGGAAGAATTCTTCCATTTCACCATGGCTGGCTTTAGTGGTTGGTGTACATATTTGAATAATAGTGGTATTAGCTGGTCTTTCTTGAAGGCATATAGATATTATCCTATCACAGACAGCATTGTACTTCAAGACGGATCTTGAAATGCTCTTTTTGGCAATGAAAGCTACACATTTTGACTTGAATTTGTCATTCAAGACACAATAAACCATATAACTGTCCTACTCAATAAGGCCAATACCAGTCCATTAGCTTGCATGGACTAAGTCAGCTGTTGTTGCATTCAGAGTTTGTGAAATTTGTATTGTTAATAATAAATTATTTAATAATTTTATGATCTGATTGAAAGAGTTGTTTTGAAAATCAACATGGACATGTCAAAAGAACGTACATTAGGAAAAATGGCTGCTAAATCAAACAGAGAAAAAAGGATTTAAAACACTTTGTTTTGCTAGGTTCATGCTTTACTTTGTAAAAAATGAATTGGAAATCATAGAAAATATAGCATTAACGTGACTGCTATATAATTAAGGATGACTTAATTATATTCAGCGTGGCTGCACATTAAAAAAGTGGCAAATTAACATGTTTATACTTTAGGATAAACTTAAGTGTGAAGTATGTATGTACATATTTTAAAAATCATTCCTTGCTGTCATAGGTACTGGTCCCAATCATGCTGAGTTCTATTGTATTTATTAGATTACCTGACTTAGAAAATGCTATAAAAAACCCACTAGCATTTAAAGCCCCACCAACCTAAGTGACAAGAAAAAAAAAAAGGAAATGACATATCAGAAACCTCGAGTATTTGTAAATGTGTATATCTAACATTTGACAGAGACACCATATTATTGGTTAAGAGTACACAACTTTAAGTTAGATTCTCAATGTCTGCATTCCAATTTTAATATCTTTGTTAACTATCTAATGATACCCTTTCATTGCCAATTCAGGTGAATAAGAAAGTTAAGAGAGAAACCTTATTAAATAGGCTTAAAATTAAACTAAGTAATTTTCCCTCAATAATTTCAATTGGAGTTAGAAAATGATCAAGGTGCCATCTATAGTTCAACCTCGTGAACTGCAACATACTTGCTTTTCTTAAGCCAGTTTAATGCACTGGACCGCAAGGTTGGTTTGGACTGCAAGGTTGGCAGTTCAAACTCACCAGCCGCTCCTGAGAAACCCTACACAGGGTGGCTGTGAGTTGGAACTGATTTGATGGCACCTAACAACAACAACCTTGTTTTTGAGAAATATTTTCCATGATGAAATTTTGATATTTTATTTAATATACTGAGGATGTTCACAGGAAAGGAAATAATTTTACAGATAAAATCAAACATTTACATAAGTACTTACTGTATTTATTTAAATGAGTCCATTTAAATGTAGGTTTACTGTTACAATATGTAATCATGACAAATACACATAAGGAGAATTTTAGTCAGTGTCTTATTTCTAAGGTAAAAAAGTCCCCTATACATTAAAATTTCTCTTATCAGCCATGTGCCATATGACACAATACTGAAGAGGAAATATAGCAGATCTAAACAAAATTGTTGTTCAGTGCTGCTGAGTCAGTTCCAACTCCTAGTGACTCTGTATAAGGTTTCCAAGGAGCTGGTGAGCTTAAACTGCCGACCTTGTGGTTCAAACCAACTTGGTGGTCCAGTGCCACACCAGGACTCCTATGGTGGTGGTGGTGGTGTGCCGTGGAGTCGTTTCCAACTCATAGCGACCCTGCATAGGGCTTCCAAGGCTGTAAATCTTTACGGAAACAGAAAGCCTCATCTTTCTCCCATGGAACAGTTGGTAGTTTTGAACTGTTGACCTTGAGGTTAGCAGCTCAATTCATAACAACTATGCTACCAGAGGTCCTATAGGACTCGTGAGTAACTACAAAAAAGTAGAAACCGGGAGACATTTAAGTCAACTGGAATATTAAACATGACCAACTGTCTGGGTGACTCAATGTCTCTCAGAGAGTGACACCTTCTGATGGCCTACCAGGGGAGCTATGACAACCTAAAACCTAGTCGGCCAGCTCCTTTCCTCTAGTGCCCATGGTAATGAGACACGGAGAAAAGGGAGACGAGCAAACTCAGAATCATCTCAGGAGCTTCATCAAACTATACATGCAGAGCCCCGTCAAACAGTGAAGAGGGGTATAGGGTTTTCAAAACAGCCCTGCAAGGCGACTCTCACAGACTCAGCTCGCATCCCTAACCTTTTGCTGCTGAGAAACAGTTAGAAAAATGCAGGCTTAGTAACAGGAGGCCACTACAGAGACGTGACGAGCTTTGGTCTATAATTCTTACCATATTTAAGTTCTCACAGCTCAGTAACTCTAGAAAAACGATTACTAACTTCCCTCACATCTATGAATTAAAATGAAAATCTGAGTAAGATGGAATCACCACAGAATAGTATTAGTAATATACCTTTATCAAGGAAAAGGGAAAAACTAAGAGTTGAATGGAAAATAAGAGTCATTAACTAACATTTCAAGCTCTTGAAAATACTTAAGTTTCCTTTAGAATTGAAAAAAAAAAAAAAAATTGCCACCAACTCTCAATTATATCTATTTTTTCAGACACTCAATTTTCTGTGGCTTGGCCTAAATACCTTGCAGCATCTTCTCCTGAGTACCATGTAGTAAGTTCAGCGGTTCAAGCCCACCAGCTGCTCCATGAGAGAGAGATGAGGCTTTCTGCTCCCTTAAGGATTTACAGCCTTGGAAACTCTATCCAGAGTCACTATGTGTTGGAAACAACTCAAGGGCACATAACAACAAGTTCTGGTTTCAAACATATGCAACTTACAAGCAAGTTCTCGAACTCTGTCCACACTGTGGGCACTTGCAGTAATCGTACTCACCATTTCTTCTGGTCCAGTGGCAGCTGTGGACACTGCAACAAGAGGAACAGGAACAGGGACATGAACAGCAGGGGCAGAAGCAGTCACAGCAGAAGTAGTAGAAGCAGCAGAGGGGGCAGCAGCGGCGCTAGCCGTCCCTATTGTCACTGTTGCTGCTGGTGTTGGTGACCGTGGTGGCGGAACAACCAGTGAGGGCATCGGAGGGGCTGAAGAATCCAAATGAGCAGAAGGTTCTTTTACTTGAACACCAGGAGCATAGTCTTCCCTTTTATTTGTAATGTCCGTTCCTATAAATCACAGATGGCTCTCATTAAATGTCTTCTAAGTTTACTATTACTCTCAAAATAAGGAAACCACATAACAGATAAAGCTTGGTGCTACCAAAAATGTAGATATTTGTCATACGTTGGATACAACATTCCAATCATACAGCTTGTCAGTATTCAAGTGGTTAATGTCATTATTAATCATTCAAGACTCCACTTCTCTCAGCACTGAAAAGGTAATGAATGATTTGCTATTACATAAAAGACAAAAATACTTCTTTCTATTGCTCCTATCCTAACAAAACAAATGCATTTTTATTTGACTTTTCAGCAAGCATTAATAAATCAATAAACAAAACTAAAATATTCATTTCTAACACTGTAAAAGAAATGCATTCTTGTAGATAAATTGTGTAAGAATCAAAATTTTATTCCCATGTTTAATTGATCGTAGTGACATATAACAAACTTTATCTATGAATGAATAACGTCACAGCTTCCAGAAGTTAGGACATAGGGCAGTGTTTCATTTTGGTGTGCACAGGATTGCTATGGACCAAAAGGTTGATTTGAACCACAAGGTCTGTGACTCAAACTCACCAGCTGCTCCTTGGAAATGTTAAACACAGTTGCTATGAGTTGGAACTGACTCGATGGCACTAAACAATACCAACAATTGACTGGAAGAGATCAAAACTTGTGTCCATTCCAAAGAGAGGTGACCCAACAGAATGCGCAAATCATTGAACAATATCATTAGTATCACATGCAAATAAAACTTTTCTGAAGATAATATAAAAACAGCTGCAGTGTTGTGGGCTAATGTGCCAGACTGCAAAGCTCTTTGAACTGCAAGGTTGGCAGTTCAAGCTCACCAACCGCTCCTCAGAAACCCTATCAAGGGTTCCTATGGGTCGGAAATGACTCGATGGCACTTAACAACAACAACAACAATAATACATCAGCAGAGAACTACCAGAAATTCAAGCCAGATTCAGAAGAGGAAGTGGAAGTAGGGCTATCATTGCTGGAGCCAGATGGATCTTGTTTGAAAGCAGAGAATACCAGAAAGACGTTTACTTGTATTTTATTGACTACTCAAAGGCTTTTGACTGTGTGGATCATGACAAACTATGGCTTACATGTAAAGTATGGGTAGTCCAGAAAATTTAATTATGCCCATGAGGAACCTGTACCTATATATTATCAAGAAGAGGTAGTCATTCAAACACTATAAGGGAACATGGAATGGTTTAAAATCAGGAAAGGTGTGTATCCTTTCATCATACTTTTCCAATGTGTATGTTGAGCAAATAATCTGAGAAGGTGAATTATATGAAGAACGTGGCATCAGAATTGGAGGATGACTCATTAACAACCTGTGATATGTAGATAATATAACCCTATGCTTGCGGAAAGCCAAGAGGACTTAAAATACTTACTGATGAAGATCAAAGATCACAGCCTTTATTATGAGTTGCACCTCAATATAAAGAAAACAAAATACCTCACCACTGGACCACTGAATAACATCATGATAAATGGACAAAAGATTGAAGTTGTTACAGACTTTATTCTGCTTGGATCAATCATCAACATTCATGGAAGCAGTGGCCAAGAAATCAAACGACGTATTACATCAGGCAAATCTGCTGAACAAGACCTCTTTAAAGTGTTCAAGAGTAAAGCGGCTTGTGACCCAAGCCATGGTATTTTCAGTTGCCTCATATACACGTAAAAACTGAACAAGAAATCAGAAAGACTTAGAATTGATGCATCTGAGTTTTGGTGTTAGAGAATATTGAAGGTAGCACGGACTTCCAGAAGAACAAACAGGTCTGTGCTGGAAAAAGTACATCCAGAATGCTTAGAAGCCAGGATGGTGAGACTTCACCTCTCATACTTTGGACATATTATCAGGAGGGACCAGTCCCTGGAGAAGGACATCATGCTTGGAAAAGTGAAGGATCAACAAAAACGAGGAAGACCCTCAATGCAATAGATTGGCACAGTGGCAGCACCAATGGGCCCCAGTGCAACAACAGTTGTGAGTATGGCACAGGACCTGACAGGGTTGTGTTCTGTTGTGCAAAGGGTCACTATGAGTTAAAACTGTCTCAACAACATCTACCACCACCACCACTACTACTACTGTGTGTGTCTTACTCGGCATCTTTTATCATCCAGTGTTCTGACAAAACACAAGACCACTCAGAGTAGCTGGGTTGCCAGGCCCTGGCACTAGGCTCCAGATGATAGAGACTTAAAAGCAGTAAGAGCAAAACATATCATGCTGTCTAATTATCAAAATACATCCTGATATATTTATCTGTAGGAGACACACTTGTATGTGAATTTAATACTGCCAACTTAGTAAGGTAGTATAAACACTGTCCTAAATTGATTTATAACCTCCTTAAGTAGGCTATGAAGTGTACATTTCCTGTAATTGAATGTAAGAAGGTCTTATAAGAATCTGTCCCTTGCTTCAGAAATCCATGATCTCTTCTCAGTAGGTAATTAAATTCTTCAGGATAATACATACAACTTAATAACAATCAAAACTGAAAGCTGGCTATAGTCTGTCATTGGAGGTGATGAGTTTGTTTTCCAACAAATAAACTTATATAGAAGACCATTTACTGGAAAAGTCAAACACTCAGTTAGGTATTAGCAAATTAAAACTACTCAGCCTTCAGATTCTATGATTCTAAGTTTCTAACTTGCACATGGGCTACACACAACTGCTTCAGAAAAAAAGAGTTGATTTAAACTTTCTACTGTCTATAACAAACAGAATTCAAATAACTTTTGATGCTTTAAAATGAGGTTATGACAAGCACATCAAAATTATTCATTAGGTTGAAATCATGTAAATTATATTACAAAAAGAAGCTGTTTTATTGATAAGTTATGAATTCCAGAGGGGTTTAATATAAGAGAACACTACAAAAATGTTTATGCATTTGCAGAAAAGTTGGAGGCTGACTTGAATTAAGAAACCGAAACACCATATATACTAAAGTACCTTTTGCCTTTTAAAGTGCTTTTAAGTATACTTCATTGCACCCCTACAAGAACTTTCTCTGAAATTGGTAAGAAAGCATTTTCTTTGGTCAGAGAAGGAAACTACGGTGCAATGAGGAAAAGAGACCCCAATGTAAAATGATGACAAACAGTTCTAGTCATGTGTTCTTTCAAGTTATGCTGATGAACCTACTAACCAAACCACTTAGCTCCCAGCCAATACACAGACTGTCTTTGAAATAAGTTATCACTTGACTTCTATAGATTGGCCTATATTTATATCTGTTGAAAATGAGTTTTAGTTGGGGCCACTCTCTCTCTCTTTTTTGGGGGGGGACAATTTCACAATAAGTTCACAACCACCTCCAGAGCTCACACAGTGTCCTGCTAATCACACTGGATTCGACTCTCACTTTTAGGCTTGGGAGTTGTTGCTCCGACTCACAGCAAGCCTGAATAGAGTTTCGGAACCACTACTTTGTGATTTACACCAACCTTGAGGTCCAGTGTTTCTCCTATAGTGCCACACCATGACTTCATTGTACATATTAAAAGAATGATTTTAGCATTAAGTTTGAAGAATTGGAAGTTGACTAGATCAGATTTAAACAATATAAGGAACCATGACTGAGCTACATGGCAGATTTAAAACTGACTTTGAAACCATGTGGCCCTGTAGGATCAGCACTTTACTGCAAACCATAAAGTTGGCAGTTCAAACCCACCAGATGCTCCTTGGAAATCCAACACAGGGTCGTTATGAGTCGAAACTGACTCTATGGCACTTAACAACAACAACAATAATAATTAAAAACAGCAATAGCTGGATGAGACATGTCCATTGCAGAAAGCGAACATGCAGATCATACCATTCAGGGCAATCTCAAATCTTTTGTGAAAGCAGGTAGTGAATCTTAAAATAAAAGACTAACCTAACTCCTCATTTCTGTTCTGAAACATCGTCATGGCTTCCAGATTTAATGCACACACCCCCCTCATGAAGGCTTTTTTCATGGAATCTTCAAAATGCTCTTTTTCATGCTGCATTCTTTGGATCTCAGCCTTTGCATTTTCCAAAGCTCCAGATAACTACAATCAGGAGAATTAAAACAAAACACAAATGAAAATGATTTAAGACACATTAAATTTGCTGTTAAAACCAGATTTATATGATGAAATTATTTTTATGTCAACTACTAAAAAGTTTGTCCCATACCTTTCCTGCTATATGTATCAATGTATTTAAAAAGGTGCACCATAGTTCTATTGTCTCCAGCAACAAACCATCATTTTCATTCCTAACTATAAAGTGAAGGCTCCAACAAGGGGAATGGCATATCAGTATCACTGAGGGTTGGGTGATGTTTTAATTAAGCGAGTATGTCTGTTCTTATGATAAAAATTTTATGTAGGGCATTAAACAAAATATATTAAATATCACAGACAGCTCTCAACCCTTCAGCAAAAAAAAAAAAAAAAGACAAAATGCCCGAAATATTACTGGATTTTTTCTCACTGGAATTTATCTATAGGATTTAAAATGAAAAGTAGTATTCGGTATGGCAGACCTTCCCATACTCTAAACCTAATGATGATGCATATTTTGGATGTCATTATGAAGTACAGAATGTGTCATGAGACTTATTTTCAATATTAAAACGTTAGTGCTATAATAATAAAATCATTTTTTCCTTTTGATATTTGATTTTAAGAGACCTACTGATTTCCTCAGTACGGTTATTTCATTTTGAAGCCAAATGGTTTCTTATGCAAATAATGTTAATTTTATTAAAAGTCAGTGGGAAAGAAAACTCAATACATACTCAACTGCTATCAGTCTTATAGGAACATACTTTATAAAACAAGATGAAAATAAACATTTATTTTAGTTGTCAGTTTTGGTTTAATAAAAGCAAACTTACAAGTCTTAGATGTGCAAGCATTATTGAAAGGCCCTCTGCATCTACACTAGGTTCCACAGTCACGACAACAGGAAGAAACAAGTCAGTTAGTGTTGCCCTTTCCCAATAGGCTCATTTGAAGCTCTACTTCATTTACAGGGTTGGAGCAATGGGGAGCTCTTAGTAAAATTAACAGTTAGTGGTGCTACCTATATTCTTCACTGTTATTAAAGAAAAGTGAAAATTTTAACTTAAAACAAAAACAAAAAACCCCAAACAAACAAAAAAATCCTTACCACAGCAACTTTGTTTTCATAATCGTTAGAAATCTGGACACAGACTTCTTCAGCTCTTGCTTGACAAGCTCGTTCCACCACCTCTTTCCACTGCTTTTGTATCGTGGAATGCCAGGCTCTCCAGACTTTCTTCAATAAAGTCTTCTGGAAGTACTGGTCAGCTAGTTTACCTTCATAAGCCTAAATCAAAGTCATAGAAAGCCTCAAAAACGCTGACAATTATACTGGTAGTAATAATTATGGTTAACTGTTCCTAGTTATTCTCCATCATTTAAATCCTATGGGATTAAGATAACAGCATTCCATGACCTTCTGAAGTCCCCTCGTAATCTCATCTCACAGACAGGACAGGAGAGACCTGCCGAGACCACACAAGCAGCAAGGGAAATGCCAGATATGCCTGACTCCAGAGCTGAAGCTCTTAGATAGTACACATCACTGCTTTATGCAATTAGTCAGGAGTAGGGAAAACAAAATATCCATTTTCCATCAAAGCTATGAGTTTGCCTGCTTTTTCAGTGGAAAGCTGGACTAGGAGAATAGCAGAGAGAAGGCAAAAAAAAGGTGGTGGCCGTGTTTCAATGAGAAAGTTTCCGTTACGATTTGGTAGCCACCATCTTGGTGTGGTGCTGTAGGATCAGCAGTGGACTGTGAACCAAAAGGTCAGCAGCAGTTCAAACTCACCAGCTGCTCCTCAGAAATCCTATACAGGGTCACTATGAGTCAGAATCGATTTCACAGCAGTTAACAACAATAACATCTTAAGATCAACAACAAAAATCTTAAGATTAAGCATCCTTGCTATCATATATGGTATTAAGACTATTTTTCTTTTGTCAGAAAATTTAAATTCTTTTGAAGTTGTAGTTCCATTTTCAACTTTCTTAAATTTGAACAGCTATTCAAAATTTAGTGGGATTAATAATAAAGTTTAAAAAAAAAAGAAAGTATTCTTAAATAAGCAATCCTATTCCATGGAAATAATAACACTTTCTTAACTACATATTTTAATGTTGACACATATCAAAGACAGAACAAACTAATCTCTTAGAAATGAAATGCACAGGGATTACACAAGGACCCACACACATACATACACCCAGGCACTTTTGGGTCTTGCTACATGAATTAGTATATTATTTTTGCTCAGTAAACTATTCTGCCATGCTGATTCAGGTCTTACTTAAGGAAAAGAATAGGTGTTCCAGGTGTAAATTTTATACACGCTAAGGATAATTTTTAAAAAGCGGCACATGCACAGTTTTCTTTGATTGTCACTATAAGGTAAGTCTATGCAACAAGCATCCGCACTATGTTGTAATGCAGAAATACAGTAATATCTCCTTATTAAGAGGTTGCACGCAGGCATTTTAAAAGTAGGAAGCGCACAATATTTACAGATTATAAATTATTTTTCTACATAACCACATCCAAGGTAAACTTGTATTATAAGATTTCCATTGCCAAAGCACTTGTAATTTAGGTACAATTTTTACTAACCTACTAAGAAATAGCAAATGATGTGCCAACAAGTCTACGAGATGTTTTTCCCAGACTGTAGAATAAGTACTCGATTGCAAGGTTGGTTTGAACCCCAAGGCCAGAGGCTCAAACCCACCAGCTGCTCCTTGGAAACTGTATACAGGGCAGCTATGGGTTGGAACTGACTCGACGGCACTTAACAACAACACACCAGGATGGGCATCCTGATGGCAATGTTTAAAGCACTCAGCTGTTAACTGAAAAGTCCACAGTCTGAACCCACCAGTAGTTCTGTGGGAGAAAGATGCGGCAATCTGCTCTCGTAAGTTTGACAGCCTTGGAAACCTACAGGGCAGCTCCACTCTGTCTGATGGGGTCACTGTGCTTTTGAATCCACTTGATGGCAATGGGTTTGGCTGGGTTTCAAACCCAAATCAAATTTCTTTGAAATACGAGTAACATTAAGTTGTACATTTATTCTGAATGACTGAAAAATGAACTATCATATCAAATCAATGTCTTTAAAAAACTTTAATAAGAGTTCTAGTTCTAGTAAGTTGTTCTAACCATTTTTGAGTTTAGAAGTTTAATATCCATCAGTGATCCTTTCTTTTTTAATACTTACATCCTGTCTGGATTTGACATGGCCAATTCGCCAGTGGAAGAATGTTTTCATCAACTCTATCCTTTCCTTCTGCTTGCCTATGGCATGGGACAAGCTAGAAATCACCTATAAATAGCAAATAAACCAATTATTATGATTATTTACACACACTATGTTACAATGATAGCAATTAGTAAAGTGATTTTTTCAAGTATCAAAAACAACCTACTATCGTCAACCAAGTAATCTATTATCTTTAAAAACACCAGATAACTTTCTCACATGAATACACTAAATATCATTGAATATAGCTTCACTACACACACACACACACACACACACACATATGTATGTTAAATATGGTCACTGAAAGTTCAAGAAAAATAAGTATATATGTGAAATTTTTTTTGTTACATATACAAAAATTCTTAATTCACTTAACTTGAAGGCAGGGACCAGGCTTTAATGATCTTTTCATTTGTTGATAAGTGCTGTTGAGTTGGTTTTGACTAATAGTATACCTGTATAAGATTTCTGAGGTTATAAATCTTTGTGGGAGTAGAAAGTGTTCTTGAACCACCGACCATGTAGTTCGTAAGCCCAGTGCTTATCTCACAAAGCCACCTTGCTTCCCAGTCCCTGTTACTACCTCAGTGTCCCAATACCTATTTAATGACTTTTGCAAACATACAAAAACAAACAATTGATAGTTATATTTTAATTAAAATATTCAATGATCTTTCTCAAATGTCTGTGAGTTTATCATACTAGGGTGGCCTGCATGTTGCTGTGATGCTGGAAGCTATGCCACTGGTGTTTCAAACACCAGCAGGGTCACCCACGGTGGACAGGTTCAGTGGAGTTTCCAGACTAAGAACACATTAAGAGGAAGGCAGTCCACCCCTGAGGGATTAGCCCCTGAAAAAGCTTAAGAATAGCAGAAAATATTGTCTGATGATATAGTGCCGGAAGATGAGGCCTTCAAGTTAGAAGGCATGTGAAATATGACAGAGAAAGAGCTGCCTCCTCAAGAAAGAGTCTAGCGACTCAAAATTAGAAGAAACAGCTACAAACATCCATTAATAATCAGAATGTGGAATTATGAATCTAGGAAAACTGGAAGCCATCAAAACGGAAATGGAATGCACAAAGATTGATACCCTAGGCATGAATTAGTGGGCTGAAATGGAAAGTAATGGCCATCTTGAATCGGACAATTATTATGGCTCACTTTCCAGGAATGATGAATTGAAGAGGAATGGTGTCACATTCATACTCAAAAAGAACATTTCAAGATCTATCCTGAAACACAATGCTGCCTGTGACAAGTTAGGATCTATACACTTACAGCCAGTGATAAAAAAAAAAAAATCCAAGAATCCTACCAACTTCTGCAGTCTGAAATTGATTAAAAAAGCAATCAAACTGCATTGATAATTATTGGTGATAGAAATGGGAAGACTGAAAACAAAGAGGAGTGATCTGTAGTTGGAAAATATGGCCTTGGTGATAGAAATAAAGCTGGACGTTGCATGATAGAACTTTGCAAGACCGATGCATTGTTCAATGCAAAAACCATTATTCAACAACATAAATGGTGATGATACATATGGATCGTCAGATGGAATACACAGGAAACAAATAAACTACATCTGTGGGAAGAGATGCTAAAATAAGATCAAGGGCCAACCATCAATTGTTCCTATGCAAGGTCAGAGTGAAGGTGATGAAAATGAAAACAAGTCCATACGAGCCAAACTATGATCCTGTGCAGAAACTACATGAATTTAGAGAACATCTCAAGAACATATTTGATGCACTGAACACTAATGACCAAAAACCAGCATAATTTTGGGGGTGACATCAAAAGTATCATCCATGAAGAAAGCAAAAGATCATTATAAAAACAGGAAAAAAGGAAAAGACAAAAATGGCTATCAGAAGAGACTCTGAAACTTGATCTTGAGTGTAGAGAAGTTGAAGCTAACAGAAGAAATGATGAAGTAAAAGAGATGCACAAAAAAATTTTAAAGGAAAGCTCAAGATGATATAGTCACTGTTAATAAAATATGCAAAGACCTGGAGTTAGAAAACCAATAGGAAAGAACACAGTCAGTATTTTTCAAGCAGAAAGAACTAATGAAAAAAAACAAACAAACAAGTCTCGACTTGCTGTATTGAAAGATTCTATTATGCGAGTCCTGGTGGGGTGCTGTAGGATAAGTACTGGACTGCTACCTGCAAGTTCAGTGGTTCAAACCATCAGCTGCTTCTTGGAAATCCTAAACAGGGTCACTGTGAGTCGGAACTGATGGCACTTAACAACAACAACATGGGCAAAATACTGAACAGGAAACATTAAAAGAAGGTGGAAGGAATATAGAGAGTCACTGTACCAAAAAGAAATGGACAAGGTTCAACCATTTCAGGAGGCAGCATATGATCAAAAGTCAATGATATTGAAGGAAGAAGTTCTTAGCAAAGAGTAAGTCTCCATGAACTTACAGAATTATCAACTGATATGTTTCAAGAAACTGATGTAGCACTGGAAGCACTCACTAGTCATTGCCAAGAAATTTGGGAGACAGCTCTACCTAGTCAACCATCTATAAGCGATCCATATTTGTACCCATTCCAAAGAAAGGTGACCCAACAGAATCAGAACTTTCCAAAGCAGTATCACATTCAAGTAAAATTTAAAAAGCTGCAGCAGTACATCGAAAGGCAGCTGTCAGAAATTCAAGTCAGATTCAGAAAAGGGTGTTGTTGAGTGCTGTCGAGTCAATTCCGACCTATAGTGACCCTGTATAGGGTTTCCAAGGAGCAGCTGGTGAGCTTGAACCACAATGACACTGTAGTCTGATGCATTAACCCACAGCACCACACCAGGATTCTAGAAGAGGGTGTGGAATGAGGGATATCAGAAAGATGTTTGTATGTGTTTTATTGATTATGCAAAGGCACTGAACTATGTGAATCACAGAAAACTATGGATAATATTTCAAGAAATGGGGACACCAGAAATTAAACTGTGCTCATGAGAAACTTGTACATAAGCCAAGAGGCAGCTGTACAAGCAGCATAAGAGGATGCAGAATTGTCTAAAATCAGGAAAGGTGTGTGTTAGGATTATATTCTTTCACCATACTTAACTCTTTAAAGATTTAAAGACAAAGAGAACAATTTGAGGACTCAGATGTGCCTGATGCACGTCATGGTAGTTTCCATTGCCTCATATGCGTGTGAAAGCTGGAAGAATCAGTAAGATCAGAGGAGAATTGATGCAGTTGAATTATCATGTTGGGAAAGAATACTAAAAGTAGGATAGACTGCCAGAGGAACAAGCAATTCTGTGTTGAAAGAAGTATAGCCAGAATGTTCCTTAGAAGCCAGGATGGAGAGACTTCATCTTTCACACATTGGACATGTTATCAGGAGGGACCAATCCCTGGAGAAGAACATCATGCTTGGTAAAGTGAAGGGTTGGAGAAAAAGAGGAAGACCCTCAAGGCGAAGGACTGGCACAGTTGTAGAGGGCTCAAGCATAGCAGTGGTTGTAGGGGTGGTGTGGGACCACGTGGTGTTTCTTTCTGTTGTGTGTTCAAGAGTTGAAGCCAACTTGACAGCATCTTACAACCATCTACATGCTATAACTACCCAAGAAGCTGGACTATAGAAGAACAAGGCATCTAGACTGGAAGAAGACTCATTAACTTGCAATATGTAAATGACACAATCTTGCTTAATGAAAGTGAAGAGGGCTTTGAAGTATCTAGTTATTGAAGATGAACGAATACAGCTTTCAGTATGGATTCCACCTTAATGTAAAAAAAAAAAAATCCTCATAACTGGCCCAGTAAGCAACATTATCTTAAGCAGAAAAGTTTGAAGTTGTCAAGGATTTCATTTTACTTGGATCCACAATCAATGCCAATGGAAGCAGCAGTCAAGAAATCAAACAACATATTGCACTGGGCAAATCTGCTCCAAAAGACTTCTTTAAAGTGCTAAAGAACCAAGATGTCACTTTGAGGGCTGGAGCACCTGACCCAAACCAGGATACTTTCAGTCTCCTGACAGGCATGTAAAAGCTGAATGATGAACAAGAAGACTAGAGAATTGATATATCTGAATTATGGTGTTGGTGAAAAACATTGAAATGGACTGCCAGAAGAACAAACAAATCTGTCTTGGAAGAAGTACAGCTAGAAGTGAGGATGGTGAGACTCTGTCTCATGTACTTTGGACATGTTATCAGGAGGGACCTCTCCTTGGAAAAAGATATCGTGGTTGGTAAAGCAGAGGATGAGCAAAAAAACCAGCAACAATTATGAGGATGGTGTAGGACTGGCAGTGTTTCCTTCTGTGGTACACATACATATGGTTGCTATGAGTCAGAACCGACTCGATGGCATCTAACAACATTAATTTAATTATATTGCCCCTTTTCGTTAAGAAATCTTCTCAATTTTAAGATATTATCTTTTATCTCTTATAAAGAAGGAATATTTGAAATACATATTTTAACATGGCTACATTAAAAAGAGACTTAGTCATTTGAACACATTTATTCTGGTTCCTTAAGTAGTTCCCAAAGGAGTACAAAAGCAGACATTGGTAACATTTCAGTTCTTAAGTTGGACTGTGGCACACTATATTAATTGAACATGATGGATATGCAAAGACTTCAAAAATTTTGTGTAAAAATTCTATTATCTTTCTGTTCTATTTTATAAAGCCCCTTGATATAGTTCTGAAGGCAATAAAGAAAAGATGCCAACATTGGAATCCACTATTTCAAGAAAGTAAACTATGTTAAGTGATCAATTTTATATCATACCCTACAAAACCAAAAGAAATATTTATTTTAAAAAAGGTATCTAATTCAATAAATTATTTGAGTGCTAATTATACAGACAAGTAGCTGAGGTTTCTGCTGGGAAGTCTCTCTTCTCTGAAAGTCATCATCCTACCCATAAGGGTATCAGAGGGGAAAGAGAGGGAACAAATACAAACATAAAGTATTTGTCCATCTGGGTGATGTTGGAAGATACAAGTCAAATAATAAAAGGTACTTTCTGAGTTTATCCATAAACAAATAAGATTACCATTCCACAAATGAAATTTGAGATGCTTTAAAATGAACTTGAACAAGATGGTTTAAAATGTGATGCAGGACACAGCAAAATGTCCCTTATCTGATTATTCAGTTATGCTGGTTAGTAATTCCATACATGAGCCCTGGATACCCACAGATAAATGTAAAAACCTTCCCTAAAAGTCGAGACTGTAAATTCCAAAAAGGCAAAGTTTTTCCCCCCCAAAAAGCTAAAGAGGATAGAGAGAAACTCTGTTAACTGATGGTATGTGGAGGGGATTATGATCAATGTAATGAAACATGGTATATGAATGTTTGAATGTGAAACCGATGATGTGCCCTGAAAACTTTCACTCAATCCACAATAAAAACCTTAAAAGAAAAAAAAATGTGATGCAGGTTCCCTGTTATCTAAAGAGTAGTTAGGAAGAAAGAAAACACCATCTAAAGAGTAGTTAGGAAGAAAAAAAAACCTGTGCACTGATATCTAGCATGAACTCTAATCATCAAGACAAAGAAAATCTGATCAATGACGGAGATGGCCAAGATAAAAGGAGATTACACTGGAATGTTTAGTCAGAACATTGAAGCCTATGGCCATGGATTTATTTTTCTATCAATTTCTGAAGTGATATTTCCTTTGTATTCTGTATGGCCTAAGTAACCAGGAGCTCTGGTAGCGTAGTGGTTATGAATTGGGCTGTGAGCCTCAAGGTCAGCAGTTTGAAACTACCAGCTGTTCCGTGGGAGAAAGATGAGGCTTTTTGCTCCCGTAAAAATTTACAGCCTTGGAAACCCTGTGCAGGGTCACTATGAGTGGGAACCGACTCCACGGCACTTAACAACAACAACAAGTAACTAACTGTCCCTAGCATTTATTATCTAGTAAGCCATTTACTTAATCTGCGTTAAAGGAAGGGGAACTTAAAAACACCTCATCTTTTCTTCCAATGGAGACTTCGTAAGTTTTCTGCAGCTCCTTCAAGTCACTGATCTGGTTGTACAGTTGTTTTAAATGTGCTGCGTGTTTTTCTTTCTCCTTTCTCATTTCCATCCGATGCCAGTCAACAAAATTAAGTCTCCATTTACTTAGTTCAGATATGACGTTTGACTGAAAAATAAAGATACTGACAAGTAGTTTGTTCCTAAAACCACTTCAGGAAATTGCTCTCAAATGAAGAGCCATTTAACAAAAAGGAGAAGAAATGAAGAAACAAAGCTAATAAGCCATCAACACAAGAGCTATTTAAAAAGTCAGGACACACCACAGATAAGTGTCTATGTTCAACAGTCATGGCTCTTTATATATAGTTCATTTTCACTATTCAAAAGGATTCCTTCCCCCACCAATTTCAAGTATTTTATATGAAGATCTTATTGTCATTTAAGAAATGTAACATACCAAATCCCTTTATTTAGGGATTTACATATCCATATTAAAGATGGATCAGGAAAAATATACGACCATAGCCTGGCTGAGCAATATTGACTGGGAAGCCCTGTACATTTGTGGTAGGAATCATGGGAGCTGATGTTCTTGTTCCCTAACCATTTCTTACAATGGCCACTTACAACATACTGCCATTTATGACTCCTTTTTACTCTACTGACTGGCATACATAAAGAGACCAAATAATCATGTGCCATTCAGAAAATTGGTTTAGACTATGGTTTACGGAATACAGAGCAGTTTAAGTGATTGGTGGGATATTTACTCCAACGGACTAACACATGAAAAACACAGCAGTGATGGTAAAAGATATTTTGTGGAATTTAATGCTCCAAATAACACAGAACTATAAATGCCACAGAAATCAATATGCGATTTCTGCAATACCTGTTTTAGAGGCCAGTAACATCACCAGTTTTTAGAGGGTGAGCACTTACACATTGTAGCTGCTCTTAAGAGCGGCTATAAAACGATTAGCAATGGCTAAAACTCAGTCTTATGTTTCACACACAGAAGAGACATTTCCATCAGTTTATAACTGTACAATATGGTAAAGGGGTAGCAGATGGCTCAACCATGTGTAGGTTGAGCATTTCTAAAAATCCGAGAAGTTCAACACAACATGCACAACAGTTCCACTAACTGTTTCAATGGCCAGAGCCCAAACCATTACCTAGGGGTTTGTTATAATGGATAAACTCAAGACCTTCTGAATAAGAAGCTGCAGTTTTACAGTATCCCCAGGAGATTCATACATATATTACAGATTGAGAAGTGCTGATTTAAGACACTGGGCTAATCTCAGGAAACGAAAGGTTAAGAAGACGATTAGGCTTCTTCCAGAGTAGAAATGCTGTATTATATATTGAACAAAAGTAATACCTTCAGACCTGAACTCCAAAGATCAAGCACATTTTCCATCTTCTGAAGGTTTTCATCGGAAATAAGAAAATCATTCACAACTACTTCATGGATGTCTGCTGCATGACTAGCATTAGACACTGGCGAGGAAGAGTCATCTAAAAGATGTGAGCTGAAAAAATCCATTACTGGGTGGGTGGGCTTCCTTGGCGATGACCCTGCAAATAAAAACGTAGCAGTCAAGCCAAAGAGAAAACAACCCAATCCATTAGGAGTAACACACACTGGGCAGCTAGAAACTGTTAGTTTTCTCATGGAGGTTGAGAAAAACGCAGAGAAATGACTAAAAGTGTACTTACTTTGGCCATTTTTAATTTCGGTATTGTCACAGATTTAGGACTAACCTGCATGAGATGCCTCCTACAGATCATCTGAGTGACCTGTGTCCCCTTGGGTGCTTTGGAGGTCCAGCATGAGCTGGGATACCATCTACACCATCACACTGGCATTGACTAAGTGCTTTCTATGTTCCGAATAAGAGCATTGTCAAGATTCACTCTCTTAATACATATCATCCTTCATTTTCTCCTCAAAATGGGAATAACTGTAGGCTTATTGCTACCCCCATTTTGATGAGATAACTATATTTCAGAGAGGTTTAAGTAAACTCCAAGGTCAGAGTAGCAATATGATACAGATCTTTATTACTCTATATTCAACACTAGAATGGATCTTAATGCTACTAAAATTCAACACCATGACTGGGATGAGACTAGTAATTCAGTTGATCAGATAATCAGTTGTGAAGCACTGTGCTAATCTCAATGTATCAGTGGTAAGAAACAGATATGTCTTGGTGATGGTAACACAACATAGGGAACAGATGTCACTCATTTGCACATGGAGAAAGGGGTAAAATAGCAAATGTTTTGTTTTATCTATTTCACCCCAATAAAAAAATTTCAAATGTAAAAGGAAGCAAATTATATACTATGCTAAAAAAGAAATATATATATGTGTATACGCATATCTACATACACACAACCCCCATGCCCTGATGGTATACATCGGGGATTAGATGGAAGACTACCGAGCCAGAAAGTGAACTGCTATCTACTTCTAAATGCCACAGAATAAAAAGTTAATATTGTATCACACATATTTGCTATGTTGTTGCTGACAAATCAGTTCTGACCCATAGCGACCGTGCAAAGGGTTTCCAAGGAGCTACTGTTGTTGTTGTTAAGTGCTGTGGAGTCGGTTCCAACTCATAGTGACCCTGCACAGGGTTTCCGAGGCTGTAAATCTTTGCGGGAGCAGAACGCCTCATCTTTCTCCCGTGGAACCGCTGGTAGTTTCGAACTGCTGACCTTGCGGTTCACAGCCCGATTCGTAACCACTACGCTACCAGAGCTTCAAATGCTGATCTTGTGGTTCAAACTGACTTTGCAGTCCAGCCCACTAGCCCACAGCGCATATTTGCTATGAGGGGCCTAAAAACAATGACTGAAGGGTTTTTCCCTTTTTCTCTGTTGTTGTTGTTATGTGCCGTGGAGTCGGTTCCTACTCATAGTGACCCTGTACAGGGTTTCCGAGGTTGTAAATCTTTATGTGAGCAGAAAGCCTCATCTTTCTCCTGCGGAACAGCTAGTAGTTTTGAACTGCTGACCTTGCGGCTCGCAGCCCAATTTGTAACCACTATGCTACCAGAGCTCCTTTCCCTTTTTCGTACTGAATGAATAAAAGATAAATTGACTATAGAACTTGTTACTTAAAAGTAGATTTTTCATGAATTCTTTACAAAAGGGACACTCATTCCCTAATATATATTTTGTCTAAAAAGTATAACAATAACATTAAACACTAGCTACATGTTCTAAAGATGATTAAGGAACTCAAAGAATAAAGCTGAATGTTAAATTAAATGAACATCCTAAAATTATAATATATATATTACTTCAAAATATATTGATGGGAAAACCAATAGGCTGATTCCTTTTATTATTAATAAATACGCTTACCATTAAAAACCAGAATCATCTATAAGTACTTGGAAAAGCCCTTAAGAGAATATACTGCCTAAGACTTTAATTTACAAAGGAAGAAACTATAGGATAAAGACTTTCTTACGTAAATTACACTGAATCACAAAGCTATAGTAATAGTATTCCATTTTTATTATTTTAATTACCCTGATTATGCCAAGGAAAAAATCTTAATATGATGTTGCTGCTGTTCAGTGCCACTGAGTCGGTTCCAACTCATAGGAGCCCTGTACAGAGTTTCCAGTGCGTTTGAATGGCAGATCTTGCCATTAGCAGTCCAGTGCTTATCCTATAGCACCATACCAGGACCCCAATAAGGTGTTTGTATGGTTTTAAGAGCTCTTTAATACTTGAAAATCTCTTCTTTTAACAAAGAGCAGACTTCATCCTGAATACAATACTTAACCAAAATCTACTTTTTGTTGTACTTCTTTTATTTTTATTTGTAACAAGTATATACTAGTTTTATGCTGTATTCAGTGGTAACTGATATAAAGTTTCCCTTAACATACTATAAGAAAAGCACTAAATAACAGAACAATTACTGTAGGGATACAATGAAAATCAAAGTTGGTATACAAATGTCAAAAAAGTTGGTAAATCAGTAGACATCTTAAAATTCTTCCAATATGCTCAGTCTTACAGGTTGAAATTACTAGCTGTGTACTTACTACACAGATAATAGATATCAAAACATACAATGTTTATTAACAGAAACAAGCTAAGAAAAGGTCATACCATCTGTCTTTGAATGAGGTGACATATTTAAATCACATCCTTTTCCAATTTCCATTTGAGTTTCTCTTACTACAAGGTTATTTCCTGCTAAAAAGAAGGGTTTTATTTTACTTATTAAATGGAAACATTCTTAAATAAATGCCTCATCACACATATTTAATAAGGTCGCAGCACGTAAAATTTTAGAACAAAAAATACACAAGGTCAGCAGCTCAAGCTCACCAGCTGTTCCTTAGAAACACTAAGCAGAGTCTCTATGAGTCAGAACTGACTTCATGGAACTTAACAACAACAACAACAATGCGCAATATGCTAGGAATATAGTCACACTAGGATAATTAACAAGAAGAAAGTGATCTGAGCGAGAAAAAGCTGATACCTTTAGCCTGCTACAAAAGGACAGGATAAAGTACAGGGAGAAGTGCTTTGAGAAGACAAAAGTGCTTTATTCACTAACAAAGAATATGAACTATCAACACGACTGTCCATTCTGTCAGTATAGCCAACGTTTCCTAGCCTGAATATAGATCATTTGAAATTTGGCACTAAATCTGTGTTTCTACACTTTTTTCCACTCTTCTCAGAAGGAGCCCTAGTAGTGCTGTGGGTTAGGTGCTGGACTACTGTTGCAGACCGTGTAAGCTTGGTCAGAGGTTCGAGGCCCTATAGGCCCGAGTGTAACAAATGAGGCCACTGGCAGTCAATAGCAAATTGTTTTTCATCTTAGTGTTTAGTTATATTTATTAATTGCAGACAAGAAGCCCTTGATAATCCACAGATAAATGTGATATTTTCCTAAAACCCAGACTGTAAAGGTTGCAAGGTCAAGCCTTTCTCCAAAGGATTAACTAAAAACATCTTAGCTACTTCACAGTTCTTTGTTCTACAGACAAAAAAGCCATCCTCCCTGAATCTCTCCCAAGTGTTAGCTATTCAGCCAAGTTCCTGAAAACCTGGCTCAGGAAACCGAAACAGCAGGACTCCCCCCAAGCTTTTGTCCTTACCTCTCACCTTCTCCCAACTGAGCTCAGGGGCTATAGATATGTCAATTGAGCCTGAGAAACCAAGTTGCTGGCCTGGGATTCGAACCAGTGAAGTACGATGTAAAGTTACCTGAATGTCTGGAAAATTACTGATATTAGCTGTACCTTGCCTAAGTCCCTCCCAGCTTGGTGTGAAGCTCCTCTCCTAAATAAAAGGAAGGCGCAGAACGAATCCAGGTGCATTACAACTGGCAAGGCGTGCGTTACAACATGCAGGGGCACAGTCCAGCCTTGCAACCATACTGCCTGTTTAGCTAAGATGTTTACTATGCAGGATATTACGGCCTTCGTGGCTGAGATGTTTGCAATGCAGGATCTGCCTGATGCCAGTCCAGCATTCACTCTAGTTTCGGAGTGTCTCTTTGTCTCTTTCTGTGCGTTCTTGATATATCTTTATCGCCGCCAGGTATCTCCTCCTCGTGAACCGAACCCCTATGTCGAGGCTGGTCCCCGACAGACTACTAACTGCAAGGTTGACTGTTCAAAACAACCAGTTATCTTGCGGTAGAAAGAGTAGGACATCTGCAGTAATGATTTACAGTTGCAGAAACACTATATAGGGTTGCTATGAGCCAGAATCCACCAATCATCTGTTTGTCACTCTGTGGTGGCTTGTGTGTTGCTGTGATGCTGGAAACTATACCACTGGTATTTGAAATATCAGGAGGGTACACCCATGGTGGACAGGTTTTAACTTAGCTTCCAGACTAAAAAGTAGGAGAGATGGACTACTTCTGAATGTGTAGCCATGGAAAATCTTATGAATACCAGTGAAACACTGTCAGCACAAGAATACTGAAAAATGATGAATGGCACCAGAATATCGTCAGATTTAGTGCTGGAAGATGAGCCCCTAAGGTTGGAAGGCACTCAAAATATGACTGGGAAGAGCTACCTCCTCAAAGTAAAGTTAACCAGGATGACAGAAAATCTTCATTTTCTGATTGGACACAAGTCGAAATGAGGAGTAACAGCCACAAACATCCAATAATAATCAGAACATGGGATGTATAAAATACGAATCTAATCAATTTGGAAGTTGTCAAAAATTAAATGGAATGCATAAATATCAACATTCTAGGCACTAGTGAGCTAAAATGGACTGATATTGGCCATTCTGAATATGACAATTATATGGTTTACTATGCTGGGAATGAAAAAATGAAGAGGATTGATGTCATCAAAAAGAACAATTCAAGATATACCTTGAAACATAATGCTGTCTGCAATAGGATGAGATTCATATGCCTACAAGGAAGACCAGTTAATATCACTATCATTCACATTTACGAGAAAACCACTACAGCCAGTGATGATGAAATTAAAGAATTCAACCAACTTTTTCCGTCAGAAATTTCAGTCATAACATGCATTCAAGATGTAGTGATATAGTTACTACTGATTGGAATGCAAAGATTGGAAACAAAATGGAAGGATCAATAGTTAGAAAGTATGGCTTTGCTGATAGAAATGAAGCTGGTGATTACACGACAGAATTTTGCAAGACGAATAACTTCTTCATTGCAAATACCTTTTTTAAACAGTATAAAAGACAAGTATACACATGGACCTCACCAGATGGAATACACAGAAATCAAATTGACTAGATCTGTAAGACGAGATGGGAAAAACCTCCGTATCAACAGCCAAAACAAGGCCAGGGGCCAACTATGGAATAGACCATTAATTGCTCACATGTAAGATCAGGCTGAAGCTGAAGAAATTTAAAACAAGTCCAGGAGATCCCAAATTTGACCTTGAACACGCCCTACCTGAATTTAGAAATCATCTCAAGAAGAGACTTACTTTAGACACTAATGATTGAAAGTCAGAAGAGTTGTGGGATGACATAAACAACATCATACAGGAAGAAAGCAAAAGGTCACTAAGAACCATGAACATAGACACAAAAGTTCTCAACAAAATCTTAGCCAACAGAATCCAGCACCACATCAAAAAAATTATACATCATGACTAAGTGAGTTTCATAAAAGGGATGCAAGGATGGTTCAACATTAGAAAAACAATCAATGTAATCCACCACATAAATAAGAAAAAGGAAAAGAACCACATGATCATACCGATTGATACAGAAAAGGCATTTGACAAAATCCAACATCCATTCCTGA